ACAATGAATGTCCGGCGGCGATCCGGGACTCAGTCCGTCACTCGGAGCGGTCCGGGCCCGGGGCCTGCTCAGCACTGAGTTCAGGACGGGGGGGGGGGCGGCCGGGCGCCGATACCGGCGGTCGCCCGATCGGCCGCGGGCCGATCATAGCGGCCTGGCGGCGGCAACCGTTCGGACTCGTCCGCCCGGCCGCCGAGCAGCTGAACTCAGTGCTGAGCAGTGCGCGGATCCATCAGAAGGCTCCGAGTGACGGACTGAGTCCCGGATCGCCGCCGGACATTCATTGTAACGGCCGCACGGCCGGGCCGCACGGCTGGGCGGCCCGGGCCCGGGGCCCGGTCGGCACTGTGCAACACCCGGTGACCGGGAAGTTCAGTGTGACAAGTGACTCAGAGAGCCTCCCGGCGGCGACGCCGCCGGCTCACGTGCAGTGCCACCGCTGGCCTTGAGCCGGCCCGACCGGACGAGGGGTCCCTGCCCAATTGTGTCGACTACCCCTATATGAAAGGTTAAGATGGTAGGTGGTAGTGGTTTACCACCCCAGTGAAGAAGGGGGTATAGATCATAGTGACAGCAATGCTAATAATACAAATACGAGCTATTATAGTCTGCTTAAACGTATGTTTATGAGCTATTAGGTGGGATATTTAATCACTATATTGTTTATTTAACATTTTGTTGGTTAAATAAGGCTAAGTCTAGCGTCCTACGTGTGAGCCGCTCCAAGGCTGTTTGGCGGCTCCACTTTCCAAATTGTAGCAAATTTTGAAATTATAACTGAATATATTTGAAATTAGTGTTTATCAATCGAATAGAACTTGCCAACCTTACTGAAGCTTCTGGACCCCTAATCGACAGGGCAAGAGATTTCAGTCAATTAAAATTTTAATTGAGACTTGAAAGAAAAATTATACACACCCGTGATAATTCCATCTCTTCAGAAACAAATAGTAGGGTAGGGTACTTATCGTTCACCATGGTTTCACGGCATCCTACATGCTCATGCATCCTTTCCCCAGCAATTTCGACGTCTCCCCCGCGTCTCCCTCCTCCGCCTCTCCCTCCTTCCACTGCCCCTCTCCCTACTGGACCAATCTCCTCCTCGCCCCCTCTGTCCCTCTCCTTCCTCGATCTATCGTCAAAATCCTCCTATTGCTCTCTTCCTCCTCTTTTCTGGCGTTGCACACGATAATCGTCAACTTTTTCTGCATCTTGCTTCCAGGCTCTCCTCCTCCGTGCCAATCCCCTTAGCATTTCCTTCCCTGTGTTTCATACTACGTGCAAACTTGAAACTGCATCGAACAATCCACATCCGATCCTCGTGATTCCTTAGCTTGCTTGAGACCCTGCAGTCTTTTGCGAACCTTCATCATCACACTCCTCGTACTTTTTCTTTTCTCAACTCTCTCACTCACTCTCTCTCTCTCTCTCTTTACCAGAATCTGTATCAGCATATACTGGTTCTTGTTCTCTTCCTTGTTCTGATTCTTATTCTAACTCTTGGTCATGTTCTACCTCTGGTGCTGTTGCGTACATGCGTGCTCATGGCTCTCTCGACCTCGAATTATATTTCGCCCCAACCTTGCTGCTCGTGCTTTGCAATGTCTTCCGTCCGATGAAATTCCATCGTGTGACTTCACTATGGATCATGCTTGTCGAGTTGATCATGCTCTGTCTCCTGAACTGAGTGTAAGGACATGACGTGGTAGATTTCATTCAAGTCTGCATACATATCACAACGACTGGAGCTTGTTGGTCGCAAGGGAACTCACATGTTACTGTCAGGTTCACACAGATCACCCCGAGCCCAACTCAAGCGTGTCTCCGGTCGTGATTGCCAAGGAAGGAAGGGGAAACGAGGAAGCAGCGAGTGGGCAAACGCTTTATCGAACAACACTTGAATACCTTCAACAATAGGAGATGGCTGATCCTCAAGAACGAGAACCGTGTCCTCATAGAATTATAGATGATCTTGGGGGTGCCTTTGCTTTTGGGGCGGTAAGAGTGACAGTGCAGGAAAGGTAGCGGAATACGACTGACGGAGGCGATGCAGGTCGGAGGAGCCATGTTCCACTCTTTCAAGGGAGCCAGAAATGCGCCAAGAGGAGAGAGAATGGCTGGAGCCATCGAGGTGGGAAGAGAGAACAAGTTCAGCAAGGCCTTACGAGATTGTAGGCTGTGAAAGCCAACGCCCGTCGACTTGGTGGAAGCTTTGCTGTTTGGGGAGGCTTGTTCTCTACGTTCGATTGCTGTTTCATCGCTATAAGGAGCAAGGAAGATCCCTACAACTCAATCGTGAGTGGATGCCTTGTCTGCTGAATCCTCCCCCCCCCCCGCCCCCCGGACCAGTTATTCCTTCGTCGTCCTGCTGGTCGATTTCTGAACTCGTTGTGTGATGGAGACGTGCACAGATGTCCGGCTTCTGTACAGGAGCAGTCTTGGCATCCAGAGGAGGAGTAAGCATGTGAACTTTGCGCTGAGACCTGGTAACATGGAACAGGCGTCGGCCGCCATGAAGGCCGGATTCGTCGGAGGAGTCATCCTTGCGGTTATCGAGGGACTCAATGTCGCAATCACGAGGATCATGAACAATCTCCCGCAAGAGCCCGTCGGTCCTCCCCCCAAAGGCTCGGACGATTCCCAGCAGATTGCGGTACCTCCTCGCCCTCCCCCCTTGACGATGGATCCCTCACGTGCTGCTTTAGCAGGAGGAGATCCCCTGGTGGGCCAAGTGGCTGGGGACCCCAGAACAGAAGGCCAAGGTTGACTTCTCCGACCCCAAGGAGGTGATGCCACCATCGGCTCGAGACCTCCCTGACAGCTTCTCAGATGGATGCGTCCCCCGGGTTTGCGGGAGGAAGGGATGACTTTGCTCAATCGGAGAAGGTGGGGGAGGGGGAGGAGGAGGAGGAGGAGCGAGTATTGATGGATCCTGACGTTCTTGGTAGAAATGGTCTTCACCCCTTGAGAATCAAGTGGACGCCAAGCAGGTCTACATGCTGATTCGAGGCCATATGTTTGCCGGCCTGCAGGTGAGGGTTGGAAGGAGCTTCGCCTACCTGTGATGGGGATGAGGACACTTGACGATAGTGGCAGGAGGGAAACGTGCGGTCCAGGTTCTCATACATCCCGCACTCTCGCGAGTAGCTGAGGGAAGATGAAGAACAGCGAATAGAAGATAGACGAGCTGAGAAGAATAAGGGGGGACCAGTGCAAGGTCCTGATGGTTAGCAGGTCAAAGCCTCCTAGGTAGTCCAAGATATATCATTGAGTGGAGCTTGATGCTGAGAAAAAATCATCTGTTGTATGTGCTCGGGTGAGTTCTTCATACAGTCTCACCGTTTCGCATTAAGTCGCTCAGACATGTTTTTCGGTCGGCCCAGCGCACTTGAAACCTGTTGAATTAACTGATCAATTGTCAATCGCCGCAGCCGCTGAAAGGCCGGGCCAGCCTCAGTGGACCCCGGCGTTGACAATGAGCGATGAACACCGTCGGCCCGGCCCGAGGTACTTACCGTGGCAGTACTCGGAGTCTCAGTCTCACTCACCGTCGCGGGCACGCCCGTGCAGTGGTGATCAATGAGTGTGCGGCCCGGAGCCCGGGCCGCTGCCAGTACCCGGTAGCCTAGTACGATGCCACGGTGGTTGAACGCCGAGCCTCATGGCTCAGCGGCTCCCGTTCACCCGGCCGGCGGGAAGCCGCTGGAAGATCTCCCCGGGAGATCTGACCGACTCTGGGACTGAACGGGAGGGAAGGTCCGCACCCGGTGACCTGTAGAGGAGGCCGCCGGGCTTGACCGTGCCGCCTGACACTGTCGCCGCGCCACAGCCTCCGGCCATACGGCGAGAAGACTCTCCGAAAAAGACAGAGAGAACCAACCCTCATCCTGCCGACTGCTAACTTGAAATCAGTACGAGGACAAACAGGAGAGTAGAGGAGGCTGAGTCACTACTTGTAGGCGATCGGTTGAATTTCTGGGGGACCTGAAAAGGGTTGGTGTGGTAAAGATGAGAGGCTCTATTGTCAAAGTGCCCCGGAAATGAGGGGCATGCTAGCAAGAGGAGCAATGTCGACTACCGGTAGTTTTCTCTGCAAGGACCCGGTCTGGCATAATTGGCTCTTGACGATCAGGTGTCACACAAAATCTGCTCGTGGTACGGATGAGGCAAGCGGGGGGCTGCCGTCGGACATGCCTGAGGACCAGGTACTATAGGCCCTAGGTGGGGTGCCAGTGGCATGGTCATCATTCCTAGTGGGTAGGGTGGCGTGGCAGTGGGCGCCAATTATCATCGGACGATGGGTGGGCACTATCCCTTCTGGAGAGTGGGGTGGTACGGTGCCGGCCTATTTCATTTTTTTTAGGGAACCTTGAGGGAGAATCAGGGGGGTGGCGGCAGACCGGGTAGTGAATGTTGGGGGGGAGGCCCGGGGGGTCCCATCAGTCATCATTACCAGACTAGGGGTTCTCTCTTTTCTCTACAATGGGTTTTTATTGTTATTGTTCCTATAATAGTAATAATAATGTGCACCTGTTGCACGAAGCCTCCGAGTAACTTAAGACAACAGACATTGGGGGTCTTTGGGGGGTCAAATAGGGGGTAGTGGTACTGGGTCTTGACCGAGATGACTAGAGCAATCTGTGATCGCCGCGGCCCAGAATCAACAGGACCGGTCATGGGACCGATGGTCAGAGAGGGGGTGAGGGTGCAGAATCTGGTAGTTAACAGTTGTTAATGTGTGAGGGGTGGTCAAGGGTAATAAAAAAGGTTACTACTGTTGACGAGGTACGATCGGTGACGAGCGTGCAGGGGTACCCCTAGAAAAAGAACCACCTCCACGGTATAAGGAAGGGTACAAACGATGCCATCCGGTACTATGTGGCCACAGGGGTCCAATTTTGGTGAAAATAATTGCCATGGGAGGGGTACTAGTGGGAGAGATGTACCAGTGGATACGGTCCTAGGATCGCCCGAGGTCCGGAGCTTGCCAGAGGCAGACATATATTTGAGTTAGAGGGTGGGATAAAACGGGTCGAAGGTAAATTTGGGGGTGGGGTGGATGAGGAGGAGGGTACGACCAAGGGGGTCGTCGGCGCGGTAGTGTAGGAGAAGAAGGGAAGGGGGTCACGGTTTGCAGTAGTCATCAACTTTCATCACTCGCTTTCCTACCACACAGAGGGCAGGACTACCGGGTGGAGTGTCATAACAGTGTCTGGATCAGTACAGGGGTAGGTGGGCTGACGTATGTTCTAGGGGACGGTGGGGTGAATTTCAATTGTAAAAATTTGGTTGCTGTATCACCCTACCGGGTATTTACACGGAAAGTGGACGGGTTATCAGGAATGGATAGAGATGGTGGGTCCCTTTTGAAACTAATTCGGGGAGGGTAGGAGGGTGCCTAGTGCCCGAGGTGCGTATTAGACTACCCTATCCTATGAGCCATTATTCACTGGGGCCTGCCGAATTGGCGTAATTTTTTGGCCTTTTCATAATCTATAGTGTGGGGTAGGGTACCAGCATATCAGTGGGGTGGCGGAAAAAAAAATTTATCGGTGGAGTCATCAGCGACAGGGAGCCAGGGGTCATTGGTAAGTACTAGTAGTGGAACAGTGTCAAGAAAGGGGGTGGGGGTACAGGCACGAAAGGGAATAGGGATCGATGGAGGCAATCCCAGGGGTGTAGGTCAGAAAGGGTGGAATCAACCCTTCAGGATCCTTGAGCAAATCTGGTAGATGCACGGGTACAGAAACTTTGGATATGGTGGGGTGGGCGAATGTTAAATTCAAGGGGGTAAGGCAAGATTTTTAGATGGGGGTGGGGGTAGTAGGCAGTACATACCGTTCCATGTTCGAAGTGAAAAACCAGATATGGTGGGGTGTCATAGCCGACGCAGGGGGTAGTGGAAGTAGAGGGGGTAGTGCGTCAGGCTAGCAGGGGGTTGGAGGATACGAGGATATTTAAGAAGAGGGGTCATTCTGATCCAAAGATAGAGAAGGGGGTACTTTTAGGCAGAAATCATGGATTTTAGTATGGTGGGGAGTCAGTAGTGTGGCTGAGAACGGGTGGGGTTGACGAAACTAAATCAGATACAGAAAGGATCAAGGGTTGGGTCTTTCGATTGGGTCTGACTGAAATTGGGGGGGTAGGGGTGGGTACCCCAGCGGTCATAAACCGACCCAAAGACGGCACGATGCTGTGATGGGGCAAGGGGAGAGTGAGGCGGTGGCTGACTGTTAAGAAAGTAGCAGCGATGGCATTCAAGACGAGAGCTGTAGAGAACAGTAAGGCGATGTCCTTAGCGAAGATTGCTGCTGGAAAGCTGATCATACAGAGAGATTGTAAGAGACGCTTGAACGAAGAAGTGTAGTGGAGAAACAATGATTGCAGGAAAAGTGGACTGGAATGAAGAATATTTGTGGAATAATGGCAGACGCCACATGAACAACAATCTGATGATAAAGTTAAGTATAGGAAGATGAAACATTGTGGGAAACATGCAGGCAAGGCTGCAAGAGCGAACCAAGTTGGAAGCAATTTGGTTAGTTGGGAGCTAGGAAAAATTGGAATGTCAAACTGGTAGTTGTATTTCTCAAGGGGCTGAGCTTTTTATGTGTTTATGAGGTTTTGATTGGTAAGTATGAATTGTGAATGTTCTGTGCAAGGAGATATTTCTCATGAAAGTTTCAAGAATTTATTGATTTCGAAGGTTCGTACATGAAATGTTTTCCTGAGCAGCCAGCAGTGAGCAGGCAGGATAGTATTATGCATACAGTGGGATTCAAAGAAGCTAATATCGCAGAGAGATGTAGGTATGGATTGAAGGGTAAAAGAATGTGATCCAAAATGAAGGTGGTACAGTTGAAGGCAATGTACTTGTAGAGCAGAGGCCATACCAATCATGTTAGTCTCATGAAACTAACCCGCTGCCTTAGCAATTGCTCTCATGGAGCTTGGGATCTAAACGTGGGTCTAGCTGTCCGACGATACTCTTTTTCAAAACTTGAGATCATGGGAAGACCTGTCGCTTCAGAAGAGAACAAGCAGCTCGGCCTCTGCTTTGCTCATGCGGTATCTGCAGCCTATCTCGAGTGTTCAGTGCCATGACTGTACTCTGATAGGTCACCGCACCCTCAGAGGATCCTGCGTCCGTCGTAGCTCGGTCAGGCAGGCTCTGTATCTTCGCAGCTCTGGAAGAATGTTGCCCAAGTTCTATCCGAAATCCAACTTCGGCCAAGGGACGGCGCGGCCTCACCATGATTGAATTCAACAAGTCTTTAGAGAGAGCCGGGTTCCGAAAGATGCGAGATCGCAGGATTGATGCTGCAACAAGACAGGAGGATCCAACGGGAGGTGAGAGAGGCCATTCTTGTTCATGTCGTGTGCTGATCGTATTGCAAGCCGGCCTCTGCTTGTTCAGCTTTCGCCAATGGAAGAACCCAGACGACGAATCTAAGAAATGGGACCTCTTCAAGAGCTGGGAGTACCTTGTCGAAACATTTCCTCATTTTGGCGCGGAATGCAACTGGGAAAAATTCCTCTCTGTGTGCAAAAGATACGAAGAGGGATGGAAGCCATACTCGGGAGCAGGAAGAAAGATGGTCAAAGTCGTTGTAGCAGATAGAAAGAACAGCAATAAGAGCAAACCAAAAACCAACATGAACCAACAACATGGAAATCCATCAGTGCTGCGACCGCTGCAGTGGCATTCTCTACAAATGAACTCATGGATGGAAAACATCTCTGGCTTGCAATCACGGATCGGACCTGCGGATAGCTCTATTGTCAACTGTCTAGGAGTAAGATGAGATCATACGACGAGAGAGAATTCTGATATCAGTGTGAGCAGGGGACAGCAGATCTTTCAAAGTTTCAACTGCGTGATCCGAAGTTCGTCAAACCGGATGGCAGGGAAGACAAGGCGAACACCTCCAACATGCTGGAGTTACTCGCAGCAGCAGGAGCAGCACTGGGAACGATCAGTTCAAAGACAGATCAGGTGACGTTGTCTGACTGGTACCTCCAAGTATTGACGTACCTTTTTCCCTTGAAGCAGCATGGTGTGATCAAACCAGAGGCCCAACACCCTGCTCTTGTTCGAACCAAGAACGAAAAGCCACAACCCACAACTTCACAGATCAGAGCTCCCTGGACACCAGGAATTGCTGGCAAGCAGAATCAAGGTTTGCTTTGTAGCTTATTGGATACTCCCTATGTGACTCTCCTCAGGGTTTCTACCAAGTCAAGGCGAGGGCTCATCGTCATTTCTGAAAGTGCCTTCGACGCGATCGTTGACTTCCGTTGTCCAATGTCTGCCGACCAAGACAGCAGACAAGAACATGAAGGAGCACATGGAAAATCCCAAAGGGATCCGAGTTTCCGATCTCCTGGCCCATGACGGAGGCAACCTGCCCCTGAAGAGAGATAGACAAGAAACGGTGAAGCTTGCTGTCACTGCTGCACTTGCTGACATCCTGCAGCAGGACAAGGATCTCAACATAGAAGACAAACAACTTCATAAAGCCATCAAGCTCGCTTGTGGCCCACACAACAAAAGCAAGTCAGGTCTAGACCCCCTGCTTCACCTCTGGGAGCAGGCGAACATAGTTGGATTGTGATTGCTTTACATGATTGCACACGAGTCAAATTAGTTTAGAACTTCTAGTAATGTAATGGAAAGTGAAATCAAGAGTGAAGTGGAAGAAGCGTGCGGACTTATGTCTGGCCCCGGAAGAGAAATGTTACTTTCGTACACGAGCGATAGATAACAGAAGCGGCACTTGACATTTGGATGGGAAAAGAAGATTCGGAGACAGCAAATGGGTCGATGAACTATAAGCAAAGAGTGAGAACAGGAACATGATACTGCAACGTCGACAGTTGAAACTCGTTCTCAAGTGCAGCATCGACCGAAGAATCACATTTCACAAGGATATGTAGATGCGAAAGTAAAACCTAGAATTTACCATAAGAAGCAGATGTGCAATGAACGGAATGATAAAATCGGTTGCTGGAAATATCTCTGGATGAAAACAACAAATCTATTACTCAGACTTTATTGAAAGCCAATAATTTAATAGCCACGGGCAGCCATGCGCTGCTGGTTGTTGGCAGGGGGCTCATCGTTGGAGTCGATGACGGTGTTGGGGGTAACACCGTTGGCGTTGTGAGGCTCAGCCCAGGTGTTGATGGTGTTGACGTCATCGAGCATGGTCATGGCGAGGAGAGCGAACATCTTCCCTGATACAACGGGTCAGCAAATGCTACGAAAGTCGTGAAATATCTGCTCTATACACAATAGAACATCACAAGATGAGAATGGTTTGTAGTGTGATCACCGAGCGTGTTCATGTGTGAAAAACCGAATCAATTTTGTTTGAAAAAATATCCATCCATTCAGTGTTCAATGGCTGCATTCGAACCAAACGCAAACAAGAAAATTGACACAAATATCACAGTAGCATAGAGGGACGCTAATTTTTGACGAACAAGTGTCAAGGAGAAGGAGAATTCATCTCCACGCGATCGTCAAGCATGCAAAGGAGGCGTGGCGGGAAGCGCCATTACCTGAGTTTGCCTCTCCTCCTGTCTCTCCGAGGCAACTAAAGCCCCTCCCCCGAAATAGAACACGAAAAAAAAATAACCCCCACCCCAAAATGTTCCACACCCTACCCTTGGGAAGCCCTAGATCTGACATCCCCTAGTTTGCGAATCCACCAGTAGATTGAGTACCTTCCCCCTCTTTATCACCCCTCATGTTCGCCTCTACATTACCCCTTACTACTTGTCATACCCCTCTAATTGAACAGCTCTGCTAATCGGACCCCACCATGCTACTTTGAACCCCCAGATTTCGTTCAATCTGTCTACCCTACCCCTCTGTGTAGGTCCTCCTTTCTGATTGCCCACCCACCGTGATAATGGTACTACCGTTCTCACTACCCCCTGGTCCTACCACATTTAACCCACCCTACAGACTCTTTCCCCCACCTATTCACTTCATACACAAGCTCCGTGCTTCACCCATGGTCCACAGAACTTGATCAATTACCCCTTGAAACCGCCTGGAAAATAGGGGTAGAATGTTTCGGGGTCAAGATGCTTCAGCTTCCAGTTCAGTTTGAGACTGAGCTCAAATCTCAGTAGTAAATTTCGTGTATTGAGTATGAGCCCCCAATCTATTTCTATCCCTACCCTACCAATCAGACTATTCTTCCATGGACCCTATCTTGATACTACCAACACACCGGTACTCCAACATACCCTACCTAGGAACATCAAAAAATGGTGCTGTACCCCTACAAATATAAACAGAAACACCCCACCCATCCTCCACACCCCTTTGTTCTATTTCGGGCAGTGCTACCCGAATAAGACTGGGACCCACCCCACCTATACCATACTTGTTAAATAAAGTACCCACCCGTTTCCTCAAGTACCCCTGGTCTGAGATGGTATTACCCAGCACAAATCCTGTCTCCATCCGACGGTATCGGCAACCACCCCTTCAAACCCAGGCACTACCCAGGCATTCTAGAGCCAATTTTGGTTACCCACCCCATTGTTGAAACAGACAAAATATGGGGTGAGGTAGTTCACCCCACAGGCCTGTTTCCCTCACCAATCTACAGAAATGGTTGGAGAAAGAAGGGGTGGTGATAGAGTTCGGAGGGTGGGGGGGTGTTGAGGGTGGTCTTCTACTTATAGGGCCGGGCGAGGAGTTTGAGGTATCAAAGGTGAGACCTGATCATATTCCATGCTGTTGCCCTGCGTTATATCCGAACAGCTCCTGCTCTTCCTCCTCTCATGCTCCAACACAAGCACTTCCATCTCACATGCTCTGTTTGCTCTACCCCTGCATTCAGCCCTTCGAATGGTTGCTGTGAATCCCTCCTGTATCTGCGCCAGGAAATGTACTCGCATGGGAAATGTTGTGTTTGTGGGAGGAAGTGGTGGATAGGCACACTTGTACATCTGTTGGAGTGCAGCGGTGAATGAGAACATCAACAGCACGATTATCTCATCAATTTTGAATGTGAATACGATGGAGAGATGAGAGGAGAGGGTCCATTGAAGAGTTGTTCTACATGTGATTACGTGCACGATATTGACTCTAGTTTGCAGGAAGATGTTCGCTCTCCTCGCCATGACCATGCTCGATGACGTCAACACCATCAACACCTGGGCTGAGCCTCACAACGCCAACGGTGTTACCCCCAACACCGTCATCGACTCCAACGATGAGCCCCCTGCCAACAACCAGCAGCGCATGGCTGCCCGTGGCTACTAAACGTCTAAAGGAGATTGCTTCCATGTAATTGCACTATTTTTCAATGAAACTTAAAACATCATTTCATGTCCCAGCAACATGCAGTTGCAACCTTTATTAACACATGTGAAATCACAGATAAGTTTGTTGATGCTCGAGCAAGTATTCTTTTGCTCCCTGTATGACCTTCTTGGCGATGCCCCTTTCAATCTGACATCACAGTCATGCATGAAGCACATGGGTATAGGGTTACCTTGATAACTTTCTCCGGAGTCTGACCGTGCAGGCGGAAAGGCATGACGCACCTCAATGCTTCTACGATGTGCTCTTCCTCAGCTGCCGCTAAAGCCTCAACGCTCGTGATCCTGCAGACGTTGAGTCCTCCTCCCGGAAACACCAGACCTCGTGTACCCCGCGTTGAAGAGAGCTCGCGCTCGCACGTTCTTGACGTGAGGGATCCGAGCTAGAGAGATGATGTCGGGTTGCCCTCCTACTTCCTGTGCATGCTGACTTCAACCTGAAGCCTCGCTGCTCTGCCGCTCTCCTCACCAGCCTCTCTTGGAACGACGAGCAGAGAACTGACACAAGTCTCGTCAACACACCTCAGTCCTCAAACATCGACAGCACGAGTTACCTTGAAGTTGCCACCAGTGAAGCTTCGAGCAAAAGATAGACACCTGACCTGCATGGCAGTCAACAAGCCCGAGATAGTCTTGATAGTGAGAAAGAACCAGAGAATGTAGACGCCAGTCCTTGGAGGGTCTGCACAGTTCCACGAGACATCTTGTACCTCGAGCAAACATCCTATGAATGTAGTTAGAGGGGAGGGAAGGGCGACCTCTTGGAAGGAGCAGGAACCTGGATGGGTGCTTCTAGAATAAGATCTCTCAACATCAGAGTCACCCAGAATCTCTCCAGGATCTCCACTCTTCGCAGGAGAAGATGGCCTAGGGGAAGAGTCAGACCTTTCAACTTGCTAGCCCCGACTGATACTGCTGTTGGAAGTTTGATTATTCTTGTCCTTGTACTTAGGAGGGACTGTTCCCTGCTGCCATAGCACTCCTGACGCCTCCTGCCTTGCCGACCATGCCAGGAGATCCTCGTCGACTGCGTCAATGACATCCATCAAGGTTGATCCTCACAGTTCTCAGCGCGCACCTCCCACTGCCTGCGCGATAGCTCGCAGCTCTGCAGGCAGACCTTTGATCATGTCCACGTACCTCTTGTAGGAGGGCTGGATGCCGTGATAGACTGCAGTCAGTCGTGAGGGGCTAGGGGCAATACCGTCGTCATAATGACCTGGAGTGAGCAAGAAGAGAAGGTGGGCTTCGTCTGACAGCACCAGCCCTACCGGAGGAAGAATGTGTCAGGAGGTTGATGAATAGCGTGCGACAAGTGAAGAACTCCAAAAACACAACAAGATGCAGACACAGACGAGAGAGATACAACCAAACATGTCAGTGTGAAGATGGGAAGCGTAGACATGGAACTGAGCGACATGAAGACAACTCAAACCTTGTCGCGCGATGCTCAGGTCTGCATAAACTTGCAGTCCCTGCTCAGGAGCCAGCCCGCTAGAAACAGTTGCCTAAGAAGCTCTCAGAGGGATCATAGACTCTGACAGCAACAAGAACCTGGCCGAGTGCGGTGGCTTCAACAAAGACGGACTCGCACTTTTCTTCACTGTCACTGAAGACTTCCGGTCTCTTTATCCTCAGAAAATCTTTTCTTTCGAGCCATTCGAGCGACCCACGGAGATGCTTGAAGATGTCTTTATCCTGATCAACGTGATGACGTGTAGACTTGCAAGCACACGAGGTCACCTGAACGAAAAGAAGCGTCTTCTTCATGAAGTTCTTCAAGCTGTCGAGTGAGAGCGCAAGCCCATGCACAACAGCCTACCAGAAGAGGGTCAGCTCTCTATCGCACCCCCTACATGTCAAACCTCGAGGATCATTCTTCTCAGTATCCCATGCCCAGATGAAAGCAAGCAGCTTGTCAACTGCGGCATGGGCGCGAGCATGACCGACTGCCCCAATGTCTCAGCCGGCTCCTCCCTTCCATGCACGTCACCTTAGCCAACGCCCACTGGCTGGACTTGATCATAAGATAGCTCTCCCCCATCGTCTCCAGCCCCGTGCGACCGGCTCTCCCGCTCATCTGCTTGTACCGCATCGGGTCCAACGTCTCCATCCCCACGTTGGGAGATCGCAGGATCACTCGTGACGCTGGCAGGTTGACCCCAGCTAACTCGACGTCATCGACCTCCCAGCAGACCTCCAGCAGCTACCAGCTAGCGTCGAGGTGGCGGCGAGCACGGGGATAGTCCCTGCTCGAAACCCGTTCTCCAGGATCGTCCTCTCCTCCAACGTAAGCCCAGCATGGTGAAACGCTGCTCCCTGCAAGGGGATAAAGACGGTCACAGGAATGCAGAGGGGAGGAGGCGGTCACATGTGGGATGGTGGCCTTCAATGACGGGTCCAGCCCTCCTTCACAGCGAGCAAGTTCCTGCGGCACGACTATCAACTCCCGATGGTCAGCGAGCTTGACACCTCTACCTCCAGTATCGCCGCCCGCTTCTCCACCAGCTCATCGCTGACCCGCACTGGGTTCCGCTTGTCCTCCTTGGGCGCGAAGAGACCGGCAAGAAACTTGGCACAGCTCTCAGTCGCGCTCTTGGACGAGCAGAAGATCAGGGTTGACTGGCTGGTTCTTATCGCCTGTCAAGGAGGTTTAGGGTCAACCTGGTTTAGGCTCTCAGGAGTTCAACCCATCACCTCGTATGCCAGGGCGCCGACCAGGTCAGGATCCTTGAGCCCGAAGGTCGGGCCGACCCGCCTCTGAGCCAGCGAGAAAGGGATGCTGTTGCACTTGTCGTCTCTCAGCAGCTTTGCGGGCAGAACGTTTCCGTTGACAAAGATGTACTCTGATTCAGTCTCTTAGTTCCTGCTCCCTGCTCCCTGCTCCCTGCTCCCTGCTCCCTGCTCCCTGCTCCCTGCTCCCTGCTCCCTGCTCCCTGCTCCCTGCTACTTTCTCCCTGCTCCCTCCATCCTGCTATCTGCTCCCTCCTTTACTACCCTCTCCTCTTTCTTTACCGGCCAGTTCGATCGGACGGAATTCAGTCTGCAAAGCTGAGGAGTGAAATGGTGGGAGCAAGGAAAGAGAGGAAACCTTGTACACGGAGGCGTTCAACCAACTCGCCAGGTCCTGCACGTGCGTCATCTCGACATGGCAAGGAGCAAGGATTCACCTCCGGGTTGCTGATTGTAGCAGACATGCAGAGGACCTTGACTGCAAGGTGAGAGACGACGAGGAAGTATCAAGACATGGACCTGAGCTTGTGTAGAAGCTAGAATCTTTGCTAGGAGAAGCTCGAGCAAAAAACTGATTGGTGTCAGACTCGGAGAGTCAGTGAAGATAGCTACCCTCGTTGCTCATCGGATATCAGATGCGCTTCATCCACCACTACAAGTGCGAGCACATCCTGACGACACCGTCAGGTGCTCTGAAGCTCCATTGAAGACTCGCCTGTCTGCTCTCTTCGATCAAACGGTTGACCAGACTGTTGGCCTTGACACCTCCAGGTCACGTGGGGTTGTCGTCACCAGCTCTCTCACCTTCTCGATCGTACACACTGCGATCTCTGCTTCTGTCCCAGCAAACGGCCTGACAGCGAGCAGGGTAAGGGATAGCCGAAGGGTCAAGAATTGGCGCTCACCCTCCCTTCCCTGCGTAGAAACCCGTGACCTTGATGTTGAGAGGAGAGGCCGTGTGCTTGAGAGAGAGTGTCTGCAGCAGCAGCTCACTCCTCCCGCCCAGCTCAACTCCTCTCCACCTTCTCCTGAGCGAGACTGACGTACGGAAGCACTAGGAGAGCCTTGGCCCTCCCTGTCTCTCGTTGCATTGCCCGCACAAGGTTCCGGAGGATGAGAATGTCGGAGACGAGAGTTTTGCCTGCTCGCCATGAACATCTCCCGAGCTACAGCACGTCAAGCCTACCTGCACTCGTTGGCGCAGACAGGACGAGGTTCCCGCCCTGGAGGATCCCGCTGCTGTTGATACAGTCGACCTGGGCAAGCATATCCTCACGGCACAGCCATGCGAGGGGAGCAGCAGACCTGCCACTCGAACAGACTAGAGATCCCTCTCTATGACAGCATCTTGCGTGTCAAAGAAGACCAAGAGCTGAGCAAGTGATACCTTGAGGAACACCGAAGATACCTCGTCGCCCAGCCCCCACCGTTGCGACCAGTCACTGAGGGACAGGGTGATAGCTGCAGACCGATTGCAACTTTTCTGGTCCGTCTGCTCTTTCCCACGTCTCTCCTCGTCCTGATTTCTCTTCTCCTGGGTTCCTCCATGCGCGATCTTTTCTTCTGGTGGCACCGGGCGGGTCACAGGAACTTTCACTGAACAGGAATCGTTCATTGCTATCCCGACCATTCCAGAACAGCTACGATCTCACCTTCGCTAGGAACATCGGTCTGCACGAAACTTGTGATGAAGGATGTTCTGCGCTCAGAGGCATTCTTCCCTCTTCCATTTTCTCCCTCCCTCAGGTGTCCGAGGAAACAGTTGACCGCACGGACGACATCGGGCTTGTCTGAGACTGTGCCAGCCATCCACTGCACGTAAGATCTACGGAGGGATTTCAGGACCTACAGCTTCAAAATTTCCCTCCTCCTCCGTTCCATCTCTCACCTTGGAAGATCCTCCAGCCTCTTTCCCTTGAACATGCCGAACCCCAAGACGAAGCTGGAGCATGAACATGTGCTTGCGCTTGTCCGCTTACATGGGATTACCTTAGCGTAAGGACCTTGCTCTACACCTCCTCCTCCTGCTAAGAATGTGCGAGATATGATGATGAAGATCGCCATTGCCCCTCTCCATCCTCCGCTCAGCCTCCTCCTGGCCATCTTGCTCGCCCACCATGCGCGCTCCGGAGAGAACAAAGTTGGAGGGGGTAGAGGCGTGAATATGGGGGGTGATGGTGTAGGGATCTATCATTGTACAGGTGAATCTATGGTATAAAGCAGGGGTATAGTGGCATTTGTATGGGTGGGGTTTCTACTGTAGGGGGTGGGGGTAGTACCAGCGATCGCCCGATAAGTAGTTCATGTTCAAGCCTGCCTCAGTTATAAGCAGAGGAAGAGAAAAAGGCAGAAGGTTTCACCCCTGTCGCCCGAACCGAACGGAAGCGAGCGGTCGCATTTCTAGCATTTTGGGTGAGAGGAACGAGACGAGAGGAGAGGAGAGGAGAGGAGAAGAAGAGAAGAGAGGTGAGGTAAGGCAGACGGAGGAAGACACATTAAGTTTCTTGTTGAGCTCAGTCAGGGGCAGTGAAGGTTGAAGGTGCAAGAAACCGTAGTAGGGAGTGACAACTACCGACAAGAATTTGTTAACGCAGGAGAATTGAGATAAACCGAACAAAATGAGTATGAAGCAACTTCTGGGCTTCTGTTTGATCTCTGTGCTACTGCTGCCATGTAGTTTCTGCTTTCCTCTTGCCGCAAGGGGTGGGATCTTTGCTATGAGGAATTTCAAACTAAGGCATGGTGCAAACAAAGTCTCAACCAGTCGCAGCGGACTCTCCGCACTGAGATCCAAGTTTGAGTTCTATGAAGTGCAGCAGAGCAGACAGTACAACATCGCTAAGATCCAGCAGGGTTACTACGTGACAGATGCCGACGGTCAGGTCCCTCTAGAAAACGTGCTTGCGCAGAAATTCAAGAGCTCGACGAGGGCGGCAGATGACATGACAGCGATCGAGAAAGACATGGGACTTGACGACTTCGTTGCGCTTCAATCAGAGTATCCAAAGCCAAAATATCTGCCATCCCTCGCGGCGAATGATCCGATCGTTCAGGCCATTACGAACAAGTGTGGGGCAGGACAAGTCTTGTCGTTCCACCTGCTGGACAAACGATGGAATGGGAACTATATCATGCGATATGCAACATCCGATGGCGATCTGTTTGTGAAGCTGAATCACGAGGAGAACAAGTCTGTCTTCGTTGCGGAGGCGGTCGGTCTCACATCGCTCCTCAAGTCAGGAGCTGTCCGTGCCCCGAAACCACTGCATGTCGGAGAAATCCATGGAGGAGAGGATGGGAGAGGCTCGTTCTTGATCACCGAGTTCCTGGAGCTGTCTCCCTTTGGAAGCATGACCACAACTAATCAAAGGATCCTCGGAGAGCAGATCGCCAGGCTTCACACTAGCGGAAATCTTGACGACATTCACAAGGGACGGTTCGGGTTCATGGTGAACAACTTTCATTCCCGTACGCCTCTTGACAACACTTGGAGCTCCACGTGGGTTGAATTCTTCACTCGAAGATTGACGTCGCAACTTGGCATGCTGCAGAAGGAACAGGTTTCTCGATCTTGCTACACTCGATCTTGCTACATGATGAGTTCTGACTTTGTACTCTTTAGGATTGGAGACCTTTCTTCAACGTGAAGAATCAAACCTTTGTCAGCCTTCTATCACGGGTCATCGACCAACTTCCACATGATTTTAACAAGCTGGCCATCACACCTTCGCTCTTGCACGGTGATTTGTGGATCGGGAATGCGGGTGCCACAACCGACGGTCCTGTCCTCTTCGATCCAGCCTGTTTCTTTGGTCACTCGGAGTTCGATCTTGCAATCATGAAGATCTTCGGGGGATTCTCCGACGAGTTCTTCCAGGCATACTATGAAATCTTGCCACAAGAAGAGGGTTTCGAGCAGCGAGAGCGATACTACCTGCTCTACAACTATCTGAATCAGCTGAACCTGTTCGGAGACGAGAAAGTCCTTGTGAAATGCATCAGTGTAATGCAAGAGATCTTGCAGGGAGATTAGAACATGTGAGGCATTGACGTGTTAAGAAATGTAATCTAGTAATCCGCCCTTCCCAACCTAAAATGATCTCAACATAACTCTCCGACTGTTCATCTCACAACGGAAAGTGTAAAAATGTGCAAGTTTCTCCTTGGCTTTTGTCTGCAAACTCAAAACTTGTCTCATGCTTTAAGGATGCCACGGCTGAGTGTACGTGTTCTGATCATCGTCAAGGTACCCTCTTCCTCCATCGTTGTTTCCCCATGGACCATCCTGATAGAAGAATTCAGCCGTACATACGAGCAGCAAGAGCGCAGGCTCCTTGAAATTCAACAAAAGCTATGCCCCTCCCGTTGTTTTCTTCTTTCATCTGAAACCTATTCTACTCCCTTCGTTTAATCCCTCCCTTTCTTTCTCTTTCCTGGCATTTGCAGCCTCTCGAACAACCTACGCATCCATCTACTTGCGTCGCCTACTCTATCTTCATTGTTGACTCACATTGGGTGGGTTGACGCTCCAGTTTGGCTCTGGTCGGTGAGGCACGCACTGAAATCGTTGTTAGAAACACACATTCCCCCATCTCCCCTATGGTGTCGAGTTCTTGACTTTGAAGCGTTTCTATCTATTTGCTTCCTTTGTCCACTCTCAGCCCATTTCAACAGGGTTCTCCGATACCTCTTTCCCATCCGTTCTTTCCTGACTGTTCATCCTGCTTCATTCTCCAATTTCTATTCCCCTTCGTCTCACTCCGAATCTCCTTTTCCCTCCCTCCTTATCCCCCTTCCCCCTCCCCAATTATCCCCCTTCCTCACTCTCCACATCCCACTTCTTCTCTCTCCTCCTCCACCTTCTTCTCTCTCCTCATCCTTCATATCTCATTCTCCCATTCTCATCTCTCCTCTTCCTCTTTTACCTGGTGCCATGAGCACTTCGACGCCTCCGCTCCAGCCAGCTTCACCAGCATTCTGGGCCCTTTACTCTCGTCTCTTCACTGAGACCCCACCCCCATTATACTAAAACAGTACCCTACCCGTCCTATGCAAAGTATTTGGAAGATAGCGTATGGGGTATATCGAATACCCCCACCCTGTTAAAATACAATACCCGTGTCCAGGACTGAAAGAGCGAAGGTGGGGTTATCTTGATGTCAAGCCGCATCCCCGCTCATGCCACTTCCGTTGCCTGACTTGACAGGACCCAACAAAATGTCGCGCAAGTCGCGTTCTGCAGGAGGAATCAGAGAGGAGGTGAGAGGATGGCGGATAACTTCTGCTCCTGGAGCTCTTGGGTGAGTTGGTAGGATTGAGATTGAAAGCATTCCAGTAACTCGATATGATTGACAGCGTCGTCTATGACTTCCTGCCCATCGATTTCAATCTTCTCCTCGAGGAGCACGCTAACTGCGAGGAAGGCAAGACATTAGCGATGCTAGAGGTGATGTCGATCACAATCACAATGCACCTTATAATGCTGCTGCAAAAGTGTAATATCGGTTGGTGCTACTTGAATGGTCGAGGGTGTCCCAGGGATTACAAAGAAGCTACCAAGTGGTTTTCGAAGCATCCCAAGCAAAACTCAAGTGCAGGAAGTCAATACAACATGGGGTGAGAACATACTGATAGAACACTGAGATATCCTACTATCAAGCTCCAACTTACGCGTATCTTCTGGCAGTGTTATGTACTCGTTCGCTCTTGGGGTTGATAAGTTGGAGCGGCAAGCGTCGGAGGCTTTTGGATACTACAACAAGCTCAGAGTGCAAGAGCGACAGATGTATGAGATATGCAACTCAGGAGCCAAAGCCCTAGATCCGAGCTATACCACTAACTGACATGTGAAACAATTATCTTACTGTATGAAACGAAACTTAATCACTAAAACCTATGATGTGATATGATGCTTGAGATAAATGTTGATAGTTTCAGCATCATTCCCTCGCGCCCATTCATCAGCGAGTTTAGATCTCATCAATCATTTATTTACACTTGTACATGCTGGATAATCAATTCAAACTTCTTCCCTGATCCACTTGAGAAAAACATCGAGGCAATACTTCCCTACTGGGTGGATGCAGGGCCAGAAAACGAATATCAAGAGTGCAGTTATCAAGACTATGATCACTTCACGAACTGCGTTCGCCCCTTGAGCTCCTTTGCCGGTGTAAGAGCAAGGGTAGTCGTTGCGGCATCCCATGGATATGCAGAGATTCAGCAGACCATCATTGTTGGAGTCCTTGACAGAGTAAGTCCACGGACCTGCGACCCCGATAGACTGGAAGCTGCGAGAGTAAAATTATTCATTGCTGAAAGACTTAGCCCCAGACGTTCGCACCTGCACATGGTGTTGTAGATGTCCATGCAGTAGCTGCAGCATAAGGGAAAGATGTTGAGCTCGTTTATGAAGTCCACGGGTGGGTTGGTCGAGTTGGCGCAATCGCTGTCTTGTTGGCACTGAGAAATCAACCTATGACCCATGTCAAACAGATGTATCAAACAGCTGTTGGCGCCGTTGTGCTTCAAGTCGCAGCGGCTTTCTGACCTTCTAGTGCAACAATCTCTGTGAGCATATTCTTCAATTTGTGAGGTATGGTTGATGAATGTCTGCAGGGCAGGACATCTTGAATCGCTTGCAAGGTTCTGAAATGATCGCCAGAATGTGACTCATAAGGGACTTCAAGGGGAACAAGATTGCCTGCAAAGCGAGCGAACAGCAACATATGTCCGAGCATTCCGGCTCTTGGAAAAGGTTTTGACAGTCACAGCGACTTCGGACGGCGGTGTCAGAACGTATGTAGCCTTCCTGTCTTGATGATCAGACTTTCAACAGGTGCTGACTCCAAACATCTCACACAGCAATCAGGCAGAAGAGCTCGTCTTTGCCTCAGCGAATAGGAAAAACCATAACGCCCGGAAACTTCCCCGCAATGCGACTCAAAGGGGCTGCACGTCGTGAGGAAGAGAGACGGAGGGAGAGCACGAGACCTGGTGTCAAGATACTCGAAGCATTTCTTGTACGTCAGTTCCTCGGTCGATACGACAAAATCCCAGGAGTAAGCACCAGCCTGAGTCTTCTTCCCGGCACAAACACTCCCGAAGTACTTGGCGCTGACCCCTGAAACGAAGGATCAAAGTCAGGACAGTGAGAGTCAAAGCCTTCCTGACGAGGTCGTGCAGAAACCCTTCTGCAGACGGAAAGTCTCACTTCACTGCTACACAGCAGCAGGCAAAGGAACCTGAATAATGCCTCCAACGTACAGACAGCCCGGAGAGGAGGAGTCTTGCGCGGTCAGGTAGTTCCGCAAAGTCGGAGGAGGCACACCAAAGGTCCAAGAGCTAATCTGATGTTGATAGAACGAGTCCCCTCCTTGCTTGATAGACACGTTGACACCACTCGTATTGCCGATCTGATACTTGCTCACATAATACGAGCCCTATCACAACAGCTCTGATTCAGCAGACACCAACCCACACTCGCATCACCGGACACTCGGTCGAGACTTGGCTGTAGATGCCGTACAGATCAATCTTGCTGGAAGCTGCGTTGCATCTGACATCACATTCACAAACCACGTCAACTCGATCAAGATTCAAAACAAAAGCGAATGAACGCACAGATCTGAGCTACAGCAAGCGTAGTTGTAAACTCCCATGGAGTCTTCTTTCTGGCCTCTGCCATGTGATTGCGTTAGCGCTGACGTCAATCTTAATTGCATGAGACACCGAGCTTGATAGCACTGATCTGACGACACACACCCAAGGCTGATGGATCCATCTGAGTACATCTTTGCAATGCATGAAGATGTAGCGGCACAGGTCGACATCGAAGTTGACGACACTGTATAAGTGCTTCCAGTCTTGGTGACTTGTTGTACGTAACACTTCAAACATGCTGCTGGCAAGACTGTACAAAGGCACTTGTTAGGTACCCGAGCATGAGATTACAGCGAGATTCAGTGACAGCATCCAATTGAAGAAGGCAAAGAAGACTCAATGAAAGTTGCGGAGGTTGAATCAAGGAAGGCAGGGCAAGGCGTGAACGAGAGATGGAGGAGGAGAGGAGATGTAAGAGACACGGAGGAAGAGACGAGGGTGAAAGAATCTCTTACTGGTGAGGAGGAGGAGGAGGAGATTTAGGCGCAGCATGGCTCCTCAGTCCACACCGACGAAATTATGAATTTTCACTATTCAGCTTTGAAATTTATTCATAATTATATCGAATTAGAATATAACATCAATTGTAGTTCTGCATAACGTTTATAAGAATTTCAGAACTATGCACAATAAAGAGTTGCTACCGTTCTCTGCGAAAGATGATGAGAAATCTCCTCCTCCTCCTCCTCCTCCTCCTCCTCCTCCTCCTCCTCCTCCTCCTCCTCCTCCTCCTCCTCCTCCTCCACCACCACCACCACCACCATACCACAATTCCTCCCCTCTTGCTCTTTCGCTCGCACCTGACTCTATCTGCTCTTTCGTGTGAAGCTCAAGAAAATTATGATGGTTGGAAAGCGATGTGAGGAAAAAACAGGCAGGCAGGCAGGCAGGCAGGCAGGCAGGCAGGCAGGCAGGCAGGAGGGAAACGAACGAAGCAGGCAGGCAAGGGCAAGGGCTGGGGGATGAGAAGAAACCGAAGAGAATCAGAGAATGAAGGAATAATCGAGTCAGAAAGTGAGATGACTTCGAAAGGATGCAGAAAGACATGAAAGATGGGGAGGAGGGAGGTGAAGACTCAGTCACAGATAGTCGAGCCATGAGCGTCTTCAAGACTCTCCGACAGTCTATGGAGCCTCATTGTCCCGACCAGCTCTATGAAGCCTGTTAAACTAGCTCTTGCGCTGTGCATCGATCAGTCACATGCGTCCCAGTGAAGCTGACAGAGCGAAGGGGCTAGGAAGACTGTATTGCAGTGCTATAGCTGATCTAGGGTTCTTCTGGCTTCCCCTCCTTGGGTCGCAGCAGAGGGAAGAGCTGAACTTCGCGGATGGATGGCAGGTCTAGGAGAGTCATACAAATCCTGTCGATTCCGATCCCACAGCCACCCTGGGAGCCGTCAAGACTCTTGGGCAGCTGGAAGGGAAGTTACCGTGGGCGGTAGGCCATAGTCAAGGGCGTGCAGGAAGGAGTCGTCAAGAACAATGGCTTCCTGCGAGGGAGTGAGGTCAGGGGACAAGAGGAGGGACGGAAGGGACCTCGTCTCCCTGTTGCTTCTTCAGCATTTGCTCCTCGAACCTAGCCATCTGATCTCAGTGACTGACAACTAGAGCGGTGCTACCTCGTCTTCTGCTCCCTTGGGTCGTTAAGCTCAGTGTACGCATTGGCGACTTCCCTCTATGCATCAAGCATGAGAGGAGTCGGAGAGATGGAGGGGCAGAGAGAGAAGTTGAGATGAACTCACTCCTAGTATGAAGAGCTCGAACCGCTCAGAGACACCCGCCATTTCCCGATGCTCCTTAGCCAACGGCGACATGCACAGAGGTTGGTTGATCTGCGAGAACAAATTGTGACTTGGAGTAAAGAAGGACTGAGAGCGTACTAGGAAGGTAGGTTGAATGAGCTTTGGCTCAACAAGCTCTCCGCACAGTTTATCCAGAAGGATCTAGCACAACCGTCGTCACCCCATCGCCACCAGTCAGGGGATTCTCACCGACGCGTGCGCGTTTGAAGGGGCTGAAACCTTGAACTTTGAAAGAATCTGCGATGGAAGGAGCTCAACGAGGAGGGTGGTGGGTTCTGAGCGTTGATACCTCGCGCAGAAGCTTCACGGACTCAGTAGTCTCCAACTCTGAAGGGTGAGGAAGCTTTTGTCCCGCAGCCTCTTCGATCGCCTGCATGTAGTCCAATCGCTGCAAGCTGATCAGATTCGAAATTGCCGTCTGTGCTGTTAGACCTGAAAGGGCCTGCTAAAGTCCAGCTCGATCGTTCCTGACTTGTCTCGAGACGATACCTGCCGGTCATACTTCAATACTGACAACAAGCCCTCGCATCGCGCTCGTGCCTTCACGGTACTAGTCTGCAAGACCTCTTGACATACACTCTTTAACATCCGCTCCAGCATCTCCAACATGTCCATGTAATCTGCGTAGGCCTGATATATCTGAGAGGCAACTTGGATCAGCGTGTATAAAGAAGAATAAGCGTCTTTTACCTCAATACTTGTGAACTCTGGGTTGTGTGTTGCGTCGACGCCCTCATTGCGAAAGCATTTTCCAAGCTCATAAACCCTTCACACTGTCAGAGGTCAACTTGACTTTAGACCTTTAACTACTTGTCGAGTCCTCCCACAACAAGCTGCTTGAGGTACAGCTCTGGAGCAACCTGTCTGTCTGCATCAGCTCTCCCTCTCCTTTGTTCTCGTTGCATTACACGCATGAACAGCTCAGATTCCAAATCGTTGTGGAAGGTCTTGAAAGGCCTCGCAGCCGCTCCAGAGGCCTGAAAGATCGTGAGGGTGCGGGGAAGGGGAGGACAGGGGAGGCACCTGGCGAGAGAGCATGGGGGTTTCAACTTCGAGAAAACCGATGTTGTCTAGGTAGTTTCTGATCGCTCTGATGATCTTGGCTCTACCTTCAAAGTGTTGTCTCACCTGCGGAGCCATCATGACAGAAGACCGACGTCTAAGTTACTTGAGAGTTGCAGATCAAGTCCACATATCGATTTCGAAACCGGAGGTCCGGGTCTTTCAAGCCGTAGTAGTCCTGAGAGACTACTTCACGACCTCCCTAGCAACATGCTGCTCACCTTGGGCAAGATTCGCACGCATGGAGCCAAGAGCTTGACTGAGAGAGGAATCAAACAGATCTCTCCTCTCTTGTTCCTAGCTGGTATTCCCGTGGCCCCAACGACGTCGCCACGTTTGAGGATCTGACAGAAGCAGCAGCATCAGGCAAGCTGCTTCCAACACTTGTGACGAGTTGTCAACATCCACCTTGCCCATCAGCTCTTCCCAGTCTTCGCCATCAAAGTGCTGTCTGTCAACCATCAGTTGCATTCTACTGCCGTTTGACTTGACGTCTGCACTGATGTCAGTCCCAATCCTGACGTTCATTAAGGTTTCTGACCTATGAATATCAAGTTCTTCCCGGCTCTCCTCAAGCCTATGATCCTTCCTGCGACGGATTGTCTCTCATCTTTCCTCTGCTCTCCCGCTGACAGAAGCATCAGGTCGGATCTTTGTCTGCAAGCACTAAACCTTCAAGGCAGGCGTACTTGTTTAGAAACTCTTGGATCTCGATCGTAACGTCGAACTTATGTGGGTAGACGGAGCCTCTCGCCTGCTGGAATTGCTCCAGATCTTTCAGAGAAGAGAGAACGAATCAGATCGTGAGAGGAAAGCTCAAGCACGCGGCATCGAAGCTGTTCCTCATCACCTTGCCATCTCATCCTCATGTACCCCTCATCTTCTCTAGCATCAGGGATAGACTCCGACCCCTGGTCCGAGGAAAAGAATCGTGTTCCTCCCATCGGCTTTCTGATCGCCTCCCTCCTTTGGACTATCGAAGTTGATAGGCGACACAATCTGCTGAGACCTGCTGCAAGTTTCAGTGCCAACGTGTTATCCCCGTTCCCCTGATCCCCTGATCCCAACCTTCCCCTGCGCCTCTTTCGTCCAACGTTCGCTCCCCCTCCTCCTCTCCTCGTCATCCTCCTTCCCAGTCTTGTTCTCCTCCATGTCCTCCTCGTCCTCCTCCTTCCCAGTCTTGTTCTCCTCCATGTCCTCCTCGTCCTCCTCCTTCCCAGTCTTGTTCTCCTCCATGTCCTCCTCGTCCTCCTCCTTCCCAGTCTTGTTCTCCTCCATGTCCTCCTCGTCATCCTCCTTCCCAGTCTTGTTCTCCTCCACGTCCTCGTCCTCCTCCCATTACCTGCTCTTCCTCTAAGCATGCTTCCGGGATCCTTGCAGCCGTGATGCTGTCTGAGGCGGGTCCGAGTATGAGGGGGATGATCTTGGAAACGGGGATGAGGGGACGGTTGTAGGCGATAGTGATGGCGGAGCGGGAGAAGCGGGAGGGATCAGCGACGATGGGTGAGAGGAGGAGGAGGAGAGCATGCACGAGACCCTCTCAGTCTTCTCCGTCCTCCTTGCTACCATATCTCCACCCTCTCTCGTCCCAGGCTGTACCCCCGCTCTCCTGCTCCGTAGCCTCGCCTCCTTGTCACTATCGGTCGCTGTCACTGAGCGATGCCTGGTTGTCTGTATGCGTGACAGCGAATGTGTTCACCAGCTCTCCTCGTCTCTTCTTTGTTCTTTGTCTTCTTAGTGAAAAATTCTTCTTCTCTTCGTACATTCACTTGCATATTGGACCGATCTTTGCATGATATCCGTGAATCCCAGTTCATGAAAACCTCTGTAATCGTAGTGGTACATGTCCCTGATGTGAGGAGCGGATCTCTTGCTGGGTGCTGACGTGTCTCAGATCTCATCGGAAGTCTCATCCCGTATGCCATCTGCGCCCTCGCATCGGCCATAGCGACGGCATGGCTGATCGAGGTCGGGAGGTAGAGCATTCGTTCTGAGATAGCATAGTAGAGATTCAGTTGCGATGCAGGGGGAGGCGAGGAGACCTCCAAGAGTTCTCGAGGCTGTTCACGAAGACAAGGTCTTTGTGACGAGCATGGAACCGCTCTGAACGCTCATCCCTGCCCTGCAGCGGATTCTCCGAGGCTGAGGACGCGGAGGCATTTCGAAAAGTGTCCACTGAAGAGGAAAGAGGAGGAGGAGGAGGAGGAGGAGGAGGAGGAGGAGGAGGAGGAGGAGGAGGAGGAGGAGGAGGAGGAGGAGGAAAGACCTGCAGGCTCATATTGCTACCAGGTTCGCAAGTACTGGGATGAGCGACCCTGCAACTCTGGTTGGAAGTTTCCAGGCATCGAGTTCGGGTCCAAGGAGGTGAAAGAGAGGAGTAGCGTCGCTGGGATTGACCTGGATCGATTGATAGCACTGGGAAGAAGTGACGAGGAGGAAGTACTTTGTGGTAGAGGCTGCAGATTCCATCGCTTCCTCCTCTAATCTGATGTGCAGGAATATCACATCCCCGTGTTCGCGGAGTTCGACAAGTGGAAGGGAAAGAGGGTGATGCAACCTGTTCTACTCGTGGACGACGAAGTGAGAATCATGAAAGGTGCTTGAGATTGGCGGAGGAATCTGCACGACAGCGACAAGGTGAGCATCGAACATGGGAGTGCAGGAGTGAAACGAAGTTGATGTCATGGTCTGTCAGTTTTGCGAAGGCTGGTGCCAAGATTACTGTTGTAGAGTTGTCGCCGAAGAGCATGTTTGTGCTGATATAGCAAGATAGGTTTGATTGCTGATGGAAGCAACAGGGAGTTATGTCAGAAACGCTTCAAGATCTTGGGGTTGGAGGACAGAGCAACATTCTATGTTGCCAACGCGGAGTCGCTGAGCTCCGTGGTTAGTGTAGAGAAAAGAGGGAGGAGGCGGAGGCGGAGGAAGCGAGGAAGAGGATGGGGCTGAGATTGGCTGCAGGTTCCTGTTGAGACCTATGACCTGGTTTGGTCGTTTGGAGTGATTCATCACAGTCCTAATCCTGAGAGAATCATCGACCAGGTTGGAGAGAAGAGGAGGAAAGACGAAGACTCTGACCTGTCTCGCTTCCATAGATCAAGCAGTACATGGGGAAAGAATCAAAGCTGAAGGTGAGGTTCAGAACATCTGAACTTGCAAACTTGCTGCAGCTTCCACTTGAAGAATGTGAGTTGACATGGCAGCTCATGGTCTACTCGAAGATCAGCTTCAAGTTGTTTTGGGTCTTGAACCACACAAGGCAGTGGAGCTTCGCAAAGATGGACGAGGTCCTGCTTCCTTCTCTCCTCTCCTCTCCTCTCCTCTCCTCTCCTCTCCTCTCCTCTCCTCACCTCACCTCACCTCTCCTCTCCTCTCCTCTCCTCTCCTCTCCTCTCCTCACCTCTCCTCTCCTCTCCTCTCCTCTCCTCCTCCCCTCATCCTATCCTCTCCTCCCCTCTCTTCTCCTCCTCAATCCCCTGCTGCAGGTCGTCGCTCACTACTCGGAGGCAAGGGAAGGCAGTCCGGTCACCTACACCTACTCCTACAGGGGTCTTGCGAAGCTCCTGCAGGACTTTGATGTGAGGAGGAGGAGGAGGAGGAGGAGGAGGAGGAGGGAGGGAGAGAGTAAGAAATCATGCGGCAGGTCCTGTACATGGGGAAAGCGCACATTTTTCCATATCAGATCGAGCCGTACAAGAGCGGCAAGTACGTCGTCGATCCTTTGTGGCAGGGAGTCTCGGTAGGCTCAAATCCTCACATCCCCCTTACACTACCCCCTGCTTCTCTTCCTCCTCCTCCTCCTGTTCCTCCTCGTCTTCCTCTTCCTCCTATCTCCTTCTCCTCCTATTCCACCACCACCATCTCCGCTTTGCTTCTCTCCTCGTCCTCGGTCATTCTCTCGTAGAAAGGAAGATGGGAGGAGCTCGAGGAGGAGCTGGGCTGGCACCTCCTGGCAGAGGCGAGGATGAGCGAAGGAGGAGAGAGGAAGGAGATCAGTAAGTTTGTGCTCAACTGGTCACGATCTGACGTCCTTGCCCCTCAAGTCTTCGAGTCTTCCGTCTCCTCCAGGTTCGAAGGGCTACGAGGCGTGCTCCCCAAGGAGTAGATTTCTGCTCCTGCTCGCCTCAAGCATTCTTAACGCCCGACGCTCGAGTGCCGAGCTGCTCCCCAGCTAGGAGGAGCGGCAAGGGGAAGAAGCTTGAGCTAGCCTTAGAGACTCGGGCGACAAGGAAGGAAAGGAAGATGGAGGGAGGACATGGAGACAGGACGATCGCGAGGGAGCGAGGAGCAGGAGGAGAAGAGGAGTGGGGGGAGGGGAAGCATGTTTCTGCAGATAATTACTTTGTTGTATATCACATGCTTCTCAGCCTCTTGTGCTCTCGCTCATTCTACCTCACCGCTTGCTCGCATCGCGCGAAGGAAGCTTCCGCTGCGGTTGGCCAACGACCTTCTTGTCCTTCATCATCGATCTGCAGCGACAATCAGCACAGGCAACAACGAGGAGGAGGAGGAGGAGGACGAGGAGGAGGACGAGGAGGAGGAGGACGAGGAGGAGACCTGTCGGCAGCCGTCTCGCTCTTGGCCGACGTGGGGCGACGGGAGGAGGAGCGGACGCTGCTGGCCAGTGCGGAGAGGGAGAGGGCGGAGGAGTCAGACTCCTCCGAGGCCAGCGAGGACAAGGACTCCTCCGAGTTGCAGGCGGAGATCTGACCCGCTCCCTCTGCCGTGCAGGAGACATGGCGCATTGCCTGCTCGACAGGTCAGTGACTTCACTCACCTCCTCCTCCTCCTCCTCCTCCTCGCGAGCTCACCTTTCCCAGCTCGCAGGAGGAGACCATGCTGGCGAAGCGAAGGGTGCAGAGGGTCTCGTGGGAGGAGGTCTCGATGGGGGAGCAGTTGGCGATGAGGAGCGCCTTGCCGTCGCCGGAGAGGCAGGGCTGGAGGAGGAAGGTGAGCTTCGAGTTCCTGTAGGGCACGTGCGGCGACTTCTTGGAGAGGGCAACGAAGACGTCGGAGAGGGCGGAGAGCGACTTGTTGATCGCCTGCGTCTCCTTCAGCCTCTCCCCCGTCGCGTGCGACTTGGCCAGCCTCTCCGACCCCGCCAGGTCCACCAGGTGGAGGGTCCCGTGCAGGGCCTGCTGCTGGCCCCCGACTCCCGCCTTCCTGCCGGTGATGCGCATGGAGAAGACCGTGTGGCTCCTCGAGGATCGCTCGTTCATGTCCGTCTTGGCGATGCTCTTGTTCCTCTCCGCCTCCGCCATCATCTCCTCCACGTCCTCCATCGTCCTCACCCTCCTGTAGATCAGGTCCGACACGTCGTGCCGCCCGTTCTCTCCCAGCGTGATCGTGTACTTCTTCCCCTCCCGCTCCTCCTCCGCACACAGCAGGTCCCTGACGTGCTCCTGGTAGATCTCGAGGAACGACGCCTCCAGCTGGTACTCCCACCCGCTCTCTCGCATCCCCTCCACCCCTCCCAGGATCTGACCCATCGACCTGGGGATGATGCCCTGGTCCTCCCTTGACCCGAACATCGTGTGCGTCTTCCCGGACCCGGTCTGGCCGTAGGCGAACAGCGACACGTTGTACCCGTCCAGCGCGCTCTGCACAAACTGAGAGACTTCGGAGAAGACGTCCTCTTGCGAGCTCATGGCGGGGAACACCCGGTCGAACCGGAAGCCGTTGGACTGGCCGTTGTGCGGCACCATCACCGTCCCCAGCTCCTCGTCCACTCCCACCACGCTCCTCTCCGAGCTCGGCCGGACCCTCGCAAACACTCGGATGTTCCCCTTCAGCTCCTGCAGCTCGTTGTGCAGCCGCCGCCGCAGCCCCTCGGCCTTGGCGAGCTTTTGCTTCAGGTCCAGCACCTGCTCCTTGAGCGACGTCACCAGCGCCTTCTGCGCGTCCGCGTCCTCCTCCGCCGCCTGCATGCGGCTCTGGGCACTGGCTCGCTCGCTCTCGAGGGTCATGAGCTTGCTCAGCTGGTCAGCGATCTTTGCGGGCGTGTTGCAGACGGTCTTGTACGTGCGGAACTCTGCCTCCAGCACTGCAAGCTTCTCCATGCTGTCCGCCTTCGCTCTCCCCAGCTCCTCCAGCTTGCTCGCCGACTCTGCCTGCTCCACCTTCGAGGTCTCGAGCTCCACCTGAGCCTTCTGGAGCTGAGACTGGAGCTCCTGTGCCTTCGCCTCCTGCTCTGAGAGAGAGGTCTTGAGCTTGTCCATGTCTCGCTTCATCTGAGTCCTCTCCTCCTTCAGCCTACACGGTGCTTGTCAGACTCTTCCCCCTCCCCCTCCCCCTCCCCCTCATCCCCCGAACGCTCACCTGCTGAGGTCCTCCAGGAGGGAGTCTCGCTCAGCTGCCAGCTCCTTCGCTCGGCCCACCTGCATGTCCTGAGCCTGCGCCACCGTCTTCATCGCGTCTCGGATCTGCGCGTCCTTGTCGTCGAGCCGGGCCTGCATCTCCTTCAGCTGGGACAGGTTCAGGTCCCTCTCAGCTGTCAGCCTCGCCATCTCTGCCCTCGTCTCCTCTCTCTCCGCGCTCCTCTTGTCCAGCTCTGCCCTCCTGCCCTCCAGCTGCTGTTGGCAGAGCTCGATCTGCGCCCTGCTGCTTGCCAGCTGCTCTTCGTAGGACTGGATCCTGCTAGAGAGCGAGCTCTTCTCCTCTCTCGCCTTCTCCAGCGCCGCCTCCATCTCCGACATCTTCGCCTTCATGCCCTCCATGCTCGAGTCCCTGCTCTGGCAAGTCTCCTGCAGCCTGGACTCCAGCTCGGAGACCCTCCGCTCCCTCTCCTGCATCTCGAGCCTCATGTTCGAGAGCTTGTCCTTGCTCTCCTCGTTGACCTGCGAGATCTTCTCCTCCAGCTCGCTGCACTTTCTCTCGAGCTCGGCGGCCCTGGCCAGCAGCTGCTGCTTTTCCTCCACCATCCTCTCCTTCTCGTACTCTAGAGTCGCGATCCTCCTCTGGTTCTCCTCGTACGCCGCATCGCGGGTGGAGCAGCTCATGTGCACCTGGGACCGGAGGTCCTCGACCTCCTTGTCTCTCTGCTGGGCTCTCGCCTCCAACTTCTGCACCTCCGCCGTCCTGGACTCCAGCTGGGACTGGCAGACGGCCAGCAGGGCCTTCATGTCACCGATCTTCTCGTCCTGCGCCTCGAGGCGAACTTGCATGGTCCTCTTCTCTCCCACCTCCCTGTCGAGGTCCTTGGAGAGGTCGGAGATCTTGTAGTTGCTCGTCTCGCGCTCGTGCTGGAGGGAAGACTTGGCTGACTCCAGCTGGTTTCTCAGCTCATCGATCGCACTCGTCTTCTCGTCGATGGTGGAAGCGAGCTGCTTGCTGCTCTCCTGCAGGCCCTCCAACTCCTGCCGCAGCCTCGTTGACTGCTCCTGCAGCTGCGAGTTCTCGTCCTGCGGCAGATAGTCAGAGGAGCCAAGGACAGGTGTGCGGATGAAGGAGATGGAGGAGAGACGGATGGAAACTGAGATGCGAGGAGCAGGTGGTGGGTAGGATACAACAGGGAAGCAGCAGAGAGGAGGAGGAGGAGGAGGAGGAGGAGGACCTTTGAGGCTGAGAGCTCCTTGTTGGATGTCTGCAGCTGCTCCGAGAGCGTCTGGATCTTCTCATCCATCTCCTCGAGCTCTTCCTGCATCCTTGCCCTCTCCTCCTTCGCAGCCTCCAGCTCTCCCTCAGCAGCCTCCAAGGAGGACCGAGCGGCGTCGAGTTGACCCTGCAGGTCCTCCCCTGCCAGCTTCAACGAGTCGCGCTCCTCCTGCAGCGTCCTGTTCGTCTCCTCTACCTCCTGCCACTTGTGCAGTAGGGCCGACAGCTCTGCCTTGGTCTTGTGAAACTCAACGTCGTTGCTGGACGCCTCCGAGCGGTACTGAGCAAGCTCCTCCTCCAGCCTCTCCAACGTCTCCACCTTCTCCTTCAGCTGCTGCTGCAGCTGCTGGGATGATGAGGCATGCAAAGCCTCTGCCTCTGCCAGCTGAGACTGCAGCTCCTTCACCAGCTCGGCCTTCTCAGCCAACGCTGCCGCCTGCTCGCAGACCTCCTCGTCCTTCCTCCGCAGGTCTGAGCTCAGCGCCTGGTTGAGGTGATCGAGCTCGGCCTGCAGGATCTCGACCCTCTGCTCTCTCTCCTCGAGCTTCTTCTGCAGGGCCGCCAGCTGCTGCGATGTCTGCTCATGGATGGTGACCACGTCGTTCTTCTCGCTCAGGGTGCTCTCAAGGGCCTCCAGTGCCTCTTTGTGCTCGAACTGCATCTGCTCGATCCTGACTTGCAGCCGCTGGATCTCCTCGTCCTTCTCCTCGCTCAGGCTCAAGAACCTCTCCGACTCCGTCCTGTTCTTCTCCGCCCAGTACTCTTGCAACTCCTCCATGTGGCTGCAGAGGAGGGGCAAGGATACCATCATCTCATCGATGTCAGACGTCATGAACGACAGCCCGTTTCTGATCCGAGTGATCTGCAGGGTTGCAAGTAAGAGTCCTGATCCAAAACACAGGGGACGAGGGGAAGGAGATAATGGAGGAGGAGGAGGAGGAGGAGGAGATAATGGAGGAGGAGGAGGAGGAGATAATGGAGGAGGAGGAGGAGGAGGAGGAGGAAACACTTTGGGGCAAAGCACAAATACCTTAGCTACACTTTCTTTCTTCTCGTTGGCGAACATCTCTTGTTCTTCCGTGATCTGCCTGCACGCATCCTCCAAACGGCTGGCAAGGTCATCTCTGTCCGCCACAAGCGTCTGAATGTCTGCCATCGCTCCTTCCTTGGCGACCCGGAGCTTCTCCTCTTGCGACCTTTCCTTCTTGAGCTGCGAGGTCAGGGAGGACACCTGGAGAGCCGTCAGACTGATCGCAAAGGATCGGAAGGAGCACCTGGTCTTTGTACGCCTTCTCTCTGATCGCAAACTCATCGTCCACCTTGCACAAGCGCTCGACGACCTTGTTTCTCTTGGACAAGAGCTCCTGCGTTGCCTGCCTGAACTTCCTCAACATGGTCTTCTCGTAGGCTGCTTGCTTCGCCGGCTCGTTCTTCTTGAGACCCAGAGGCTGTGCAAGGAGACTTTCATAGTCTTCGCTGGGGCTGATGAGCTCTTGGTAACTGTGGCGATCTCAGAAAGCATTCAATACAACAAGGTACGGCTTACATAGAGTGATTCTTCACCACGTCTGCATCCTTTCCTCCCTTCACCCTGCAAGGAGAGAAATACGGACCGTTCGTCCCTGCAGATCCTGCAGAGACTTCCTTGAGCCATCCTCGAGCACACATCACCTCGCTCATCATCTTCTTCAGCATCTGTGCGGCAGGCTTCGGGGCCCGCATGAGAGAAGGGGGCTGGTTCTCTTCTCCAGCTCTTGATCCTTCTCCTCCTCTCGTCTTCCCCTTCAAGCTCATCTCTGCTAGTCCATGATTCGGACTGAGAGGCATCAGAGCTCCTCCTCCTCCTCCTGCTCCTCCGTCGCCTCGCATCCCGCTGCTCTGGCACTGGCTGCTGTCCTAGTTTTCAAATCTTTTCGTCCGTTGGCGTGTGGCAATAGGAAGGCGTGTAAAACTTAAAATACAGTGCACCACCCACCCCATCTCCCAGAATCTCCTGGGTGATACTACCCTCGCCCACGGGAATCGGAAGCTCTTTTCAATAATTAGGGCCGTTTCCCGCCGGCTCCCAGATTCCAGATTCCAGATTTTTTCGTACAAATATAACTCAATTTCTTTTTTTCTTCTCCAAATATTTTGGAGAACTCAATTATAAATTATACAAAATTGATGCGATCCGACGCGGATCCGATCACCCGTGGCCCTGGCCGGCATCCGAGGATGATCCGGGCCGCAGGGGGCGGGGCCCGGCCGGGCGGGGGCGCCTCGCCGCTTGGCAGTTGACTAAAACTTTTGATTTTTGAAACGGTCAGACTGGTTTCCGAATGCGAGGGCCAGCGGCGTTTGTCGTTGCCGTCGTGATGGCGACGGGAGCACGAGGAGGTGATGAGAGCTGAAGTGATGATAATGATAAGACTCCTTGAACCTGCTCCTCATGCCTGACTGTGTTTGAGTGTTCTGTCTCTTGTCGCAAGGACTAGTTTAAGTTGTCTCTTTTTGTACCTGCTTGCCTCACTGCAGCTGTTCTGAGATGATCATGTCAAGCGCCATTACTTGTCAGCTCGTGTAAACTTGCTTCAGTTCACGGATTGAAGTGCTACCAGCCATCAAAGACTGTGGCTCTCCAAGACAAGATTAACCTTGATGCGCTAGCTGTACCGCCTTCTTGGCCGTCACTAGATACCTATCCCACAGGGTTGATAGAGCATGATTGCAGTTCGCTGAAGGAAGAGCAGGATTGGGGCACAGGTGGCTTCTGTCTCAAGATTGTGATGCGCAACGCATCGATCCAGCGGGACGTTGCCACAGGTTCTTGCTATCGGTCGTTGCTGGTGGGTTACAGGTCGGATCAGATCGGTGGACTTTCTGACGCTGCTTGCAAGGTGTTGAGCGGAATTCAATGTGATTCCAACGGCAAGACCGGTCAGGCATATTCCATTCTCACCAATCAGACTTTCACTTACTACTGTTGCACCGGGAATATGTGAGACAGCAAGACTACACATGCTTCTTCTGACTCACTGATTGGAAGGTGCAACTCATCACCAAGACGTGCATTGGGTTCCTTCACGACTCTTGCAACATGTCTCCTTTCCTGCTTCTTGTTTGTATCTAGAATGACTTCAATCTTATGAGGATCTTTAATGAATAAATGTCTCCCCAACTTGCGATGTCAACACAGCCCTTACATCTCTGTTCTCCTCCAAGGAGCCTTCTCAACAAAAAAATTCCTATGCAGGACCTCCAGCAGTACAAGCGATCAGAGTGTGGGAGTGATCGGATAGATCAGAAGCACTGTGCAGCACGTCATGCCGCAGGGGAGATCTTCAGCGCTGCTTTGATCGTTGGCATACTAACAAGATCGGGACAAGGACAAGGCTAGGGCTGCGCTTGTATGGGAACTGAAGCAGCAATGAGAGTGATAGCGTCATGCCATCATGCCACCATTGCCTCCCCATGCGACACCATGGGACTTCTGAAACCTGCATCGGAGGTGAGCCAGCGACAAGATCAGAGGGCCATTGACCTGCTCCCCCCTGTGAGAGTTGTGTCCGGCAGCATGTATGGCCTTGCGAGAGAAGGTCCGAGGTCGTAAAGGATCCTTGCAAGATCATCCCGCATGTCGCTTGCACTTGTGTACCTGACGCTGTGTCAGCAACAAACTCTGAACGAGGTCGCTCAACCGTCGGTCAATTTGCTTCTGTAAGGCCTTGTCCACCACCTAAACAGGCACCATCATCCTATAAAAGCAGCAAGACACTCTTGTCCTGAACCTGGGCGAAGGGCGGAGACATGTTAAAAACAATGCTTTTGAGGTCTGGAGCTTTCAACTTCAGGTCTCCGACCATCGTCTTTCCCCATGAGCCTCCTGACACCTTTGGACCACCGCTCAGTAACCGAAGCTCGTCAAGGAATTTCACCGAGAAAGGAAGCTGCCCAGAAGTCAACTTGAAAAGAGTGGCTCCAACACTCCACAGGTCACTAGACGGAGTCATGGCAACTTCGTTATACTAAGACCAAAAAATCAGAGAAACCCCGGTCAAATCCTACCACCGATGAGGTAGCGATACCTGTTCTGGAGGCATGTACCCATGTGTTCCAGCATACATCATTGCGTCCTGCATTGCTACCAGCTCTCCGTACATGGGAAGGAACTCACTAAAGTCAATCTGACAATCCATGTTCCTGCATATTCACAAAATTTAGTGCCCATGGGAACAAGTTGTATCGTTCAATTCCTTACTTGTCGTATTTCTCCATGAGATTCTAAAAACAAAGAGGAATGGAAATTATCAGCATGGTCAAAGCAGTCGTCAGTTACAACCTTGAGGCGAGGAAGGGAGGGTTGTCGGTGCAGGATCTTGAAGCATTCTGAAATCTGTTCCAAGCCAATAGAGCTTTGCCCTTGACTGATAGACAAGAAGACCTCTCGGAGTTTGTCCAGGTGCTCCTCAGCCCCGTTGACATACGTCAGAGCGACCAGCTCGCCATACATGGACCCGAATTCCTCATAGCCGATGCTCCCGTCCCCATCAATATCATATTTCTTTACAAGAGATTCGACTTGCCCACGGTCCGGTTGAAGCCCCAAGCTGTTCAGACAATCGTACACAGAATCGAAGTCTAGAGAGCCTTTCCGGTCACGATCCAGCGATTCAAACACTTGCCGCAAGGCGGTTGATGTCCCTGACTCCGAGATCGAATTGTACTCCGGGTCAAAGATGTAAGAGGGCAGTCCTATTCGGTCACTTCCCAGGACTCCAGTAGCAGTGCCAAAGTCTATCAACTTGTATATCCAACCTCCCTCGCCATCATCCACTCTGATGATGTTCTGCGGTTTGATGTCTCGGTGTATCAACCCAGAGCCATGCACATCTATGAGAGCATCCAACACGTTGATCCCGACCCTTCACATCGCAAGTTGTCAGAGGAGGGGGATTTCGCCAGCTTTCAAAAACCTGCAGGCCTCAGATACAGAGATAGGACCTCGCTCCACGATGATATCATGCACAGACTTCCCCTTGAGGTGTTCGAGGATCAAGTACACCAGCCCTCCATTCTCTGCCTGCACATGCAGAAAGTGACTCAACGTGGGTATGAGTTCCAAAACTTCAAGTCCTTACGATGCATCCGAAGTCAATTAGTCTCGCAATGTTCGGACAATTCAAGCGCTTCATCGCAAACCCCTCTCGTAATAGTAGAGACATCTCCCCCTCCTATCCTGTTTTGTCAGTTCTCTCAAAGTGATCTTTAACATATCAACACTTTCCTTCGGCCGCACAAGCTTGATCGCAACTTCTCGTGGCTTTTCATGCGGGTTGACATGCTCAGCAAGAAGGACAGTTCCGAACGATCCGCGACCGATCTCACGAACAAGGCTGTATCTTTCTCGTATTGGTCGAGGCAGAAGTTGCCAGAGCTTCATGCCGGATGGGATCTCAGTGAAGGAACTTGCCAGTCTGTAAAGGCAAGTCAAGGAATGAGAGGGATACAAGGACTTACATCCTATGCTGCAAGCCCCTTGCCTTCTTACGGCATAACGAAATCCTTGGAGCTGAACAGAGAAATCCTGTTCCCTTGAATGGAACGGCCTGACATGATTGCTGAACGCAGAAAGCTGGTGAGTTCACTACAGCGCTTGCACCAGTGAGCAGTGCCAGGAGCATCACTGTGAACGCCATCGAGAGGTCTTGGACGGCTGGTCTGATCATGTCCAACATCGGCGCTAGTCACTCAAGACATTTTATACCCCGTGATGCATTCCTGCTGAAATCTGAGTCAGAGCATGGCTCGATCACACCTCAGACCCTCTCACGACTCCTCCCTGGCACCATTAGAATCCTACCTGACACGGTATCTCAGCTTCTCTCCTCTCCCCTCTCCTCCTCCCCTCTCCTCCTCCCCTCCCCTTCTCCACATGCTGCTCCTGATGCTCCTCAGGCTGTCCCCCCTTGCGACTCCTTCTCGCCTCCATCATCAATATGTGCTCTCCCCTTGCCTCTACCTCGATAATCTTCTAGTAGACACAATAAGTAAATATGGGTATGTCCGTCGGTCGGACACCTTTATGGACACCCGGCGGATCCAGGGACCTTGCAAGGGGACAAGAAATGTGACAATGCTCGCCTTGGCGCCCTTGGTGAGGCGAACGATTGTACTTGGAGCGGGAAGGGAGAGAAGGAGGAGGAGTAAGAGGAGAGGGGGGGTGAGAACTGTAGGAGGACAGAAGCGGTAGAGAGGCGAGAGTGACTGAGCACGGTCATATCAACTGTAGTACAAGGAAGTCTGCACTGTATGCGCGGTCCATCATAGACGACGTCGAGAAAGAGGGAAACAGGGAGGCGATGTAAATAAAACTCAGGTACTAGGAGTGGGAGACGAACGTGACGTCTGAATTTGAACTATGAAACGCTTCTGTGCAATTTTTGCAGTTGGCTATCCAATCACAAGAACGGCATGAACTTCTCTACTATGTTCGCACTGTATTTCTCTACAACATCGCTGATCTCAACAATGGAAAGCAAAAATGAAAAGCATCCGTGATGTACAACCTTATCACTCCATGCTCCAAACACCCTCTCTCGGGGCCTGCACAAATCCAACATCATCTCGACGATACTCAAAACATTCGTCACTCACAGCAACTGGTTGAATGTTCGTGGACTTCAAGTACTGCCAGAAGACACCAAACAAGCTCAAGCCTACACCACACGGAGCACAAAAAAGTCTCAGTTGAATCAAGAATGCCAAAATACAGAAGCAAACAACACCGCCAACAGTCATGGCGAGACACCGTCCAGCCGGCCAAAAATCATCTTTATCCAGACCCCTGAAAGACATGCCAAAGAAAGAAGAGTTGTCATCAGAAGAGCTCGAACATCAATGACGAGAATAGAAAAGTCAATACCATTCTCCGAAGATGTCATCGTTTCCACCGGTTCCATATTGATGCCCGAGTGGATCTTGCTCGTTAATACTGTCATATTCACTGGACCTTGGAGTTCCTTTCACAGCCTGAAAGTTTTGATCGTGTCAAATTCTCAGATTCCCAAGGAATCGTTCAGGATATTTACTTCATATGCTTCGGGGTTGATACGAACTCCACGGCTTGAGTCAGGCTCTAAAACCTGACCGATCGTGTCTGCAAAGAGATTTCATTACATGTGCTAAAATGAAAATGGAGGAATGCAAAGAGAATATGCGAGTACCATTTGCTTTGACAGGAAGAGAAGTTCTGAAATAGCGAACTCCACCAAACTTGTGCAAATCCGTTTTGCTGCAAGTCAAAATGCGCTGCGCGGAGGTGGCAAGGGGCCGTTTGACCAGATTCAGTAAGGCTGTTCTTGCCATTCTAGGGAAAGGAAACGAAAAGGTCAGTCACTGACTGAAATGTTATTGACAAAGAAATTTTAAGCATTTTTAACTGAAGGATAGAAGGCTGTGAACCATCGTATAAAGCGATTTCGAGATAAAGAAATGAGCCCTGATATTCTAAGAGAACACGAAAAGGTGGGCAGCATGAAAGCATGAACGGACATATAGAGACATGCAACGGACAGCAAATTGATGATTCAGGGGAAGAAAACTGGCAGACCATATGAGCATGAGTATAGAGAATCATGTAATAAGGAGCGAGCTTGACTAGCTTGACAAGCTCTGTTTTGTAAGAACACTTTGGAAGCACGTGGAGGAGCTGGGTTCTTGAGCATTAGGGGTTGCTGATCCAACAGGAGCGCGCGAGGCTGAATTATCAGCATTCCCAGAGGACAGGCGAGGAAATAACGCTCTTCAAGGCAGGGTGGGTGGTCGTTTCAGCCGTGGTGTCATAGAGAGTACCGGGTCCTTATACTACAATTCAAAGGATGAAGGGGGCGGGTAGTACAGGATAAAGGTAGCAGCGGGGGTAGTGGTGAATGGTGACTGAACTTGCTAAACGGAGTATAGTGACGATCGGACACTGAGGAGCCCGGGGCCCGGCACCGGCGGCGGCCCGCCATCCCAGTGGGCCGCCGCAATCATTTGATCCGCCCGGATCATCCTGATCGGATTGACAGGCTCTGAACCGGCGGTGTTCAGTGCGCGGGCGGGCCGTCACGGCGTGACCGGGCCACCGTGCCGTAGCCACCGAGACATTGGGCCGGTGGAGGCCCGGCCAGCACCGTGCGGCCGCCCGGGATGTGCGTGACTCCGAGGTGAAACCGGCCCTCACTGGGAGTCAGCTAGTAAGCCGCATGGCATCTTGAAGCATCCGATCGGAGAACGGCGACTAGGCCCTTCCAGCGCGCCGGGCCGGCGGCTCAGTATCGCACAGGCTGGTATGCCGCAGTGCTGTGTCACGCGCAGTGTGGCAGCCGATGGCAGCGAAGTCGGACTGACCGGATGCGTTTGCAAGTCAGATCACCTGAGACGTCAGCCGTCTTGCGAGGCCGAGAGACCATCCAGCGCTGCCGTTTCCTTGCCAAGTTCGCCGAGCCTCGGATCCGCCAGCCACCACAGACCGGACCCGACCCGGTGTGGCCGTCCTAGCAGAATTTGACTCGGTTTTTCATGTTTTTTTGTGGCTTAGTACCCCACCCCCAAGTGTCGTCACCCTACTACCCCTAGCAGTTCTCTTACTACCCCCTAGGCCTGATGTGTAACCGACTGTTTCTATCTTGCACTGAAAGCTTCTTCCCCACCCCCACTACCCTCGCTACACTTTTGGTCCACCCCACCCTCTTGCTACCACCCCTGCACCTGTTGTCGAGAGCGGGAGAAATGGAGGGAAATGTGTAGAAATGAAAATACAGGATGGATGAGTGTGAGAGCCTGAGAGGAGGAAGAGGGATAGAGAGGGGGGTAGAGGGATAGAGGGATAGAGGGATAGTGAGGGGGGTAGAGGGATAGAGGGATAGAAAGGGGAATAGAGGGATAGAGGGATAGAGAGGGGGATAGAGGGATAGAGGGATAGAGAGGGGGATAGAGGGATAGAGGGATAGAAAGGGGAATAGAGGGATCGAGGGATAGAAAGGGGAATAGAGGGATAGATACTAGTGGTATAGAGGGATAGAGAGAGGGACAGAGGTAGGGATCGAGGGATAGAGGGATAGTGAGGGGGATAGAGGGATAGAGGGATAGAAAGGGGAAAAGAGGGATAGAGGGATAGTGAGGGGGTCAGAGGGATAGAGGGATAGAGAGGGGAAAAGAGGGATCGAGGGATCGAGGGATAGAGAGGGGAATAGAGGGATAGATACTAGTGGAATAGAGGGATAGAGAAAGGGACAGAGGTAGGGATCGAGGGATTGAAGAAAGAGGGATAAGGGGACAGAGAGAACAAGGGGTTGGGCGGCTTAAATGATGCTCTCGATGAGACGGAGACGCAGATAAGGTCTGCTCTGAGACGTGGTACTGACTTCAATGTGCAGATTGGATTCATTTCATGGTTATACCAGGAATTCGATCTGTAGAGACGTGATTTGTACAACTACATCTAGAAATGGGGCGAATCGCCCACATTTTGTTGGAGGCTCTTGTTCTACTACTGCTCAACAGCACAGACTCTGCAATAGTGATCTCTTCCATTTATCCTCCAAGAGGACCAGAAAACGGAGGCACTACTGTAACATTGGAGGTCTTCTTGTCTTTGGTAGCAATAATGACGAAATGACCAATTACGTAGGGCGATGGGTTTGTGGAGGGAACAACCTTCTGTCAATTCGGGAATTCTGTGCCCACATCAGCCTCGTTTCTGAACACCAACAAAGTACTTTGCATTTCTCCTGCAAGTCTAGAAGGAGGAAAAGTGGTAGATGTTGGGATTTCAGTTGACTCTGGCAGGGCTTTAGGTCAGATTCAGGCATACGTTACACTTATCAACCATCAGGTAATTCATTGACTAGTCGAAAGATTCTGACTGGTTGCATTCTAGCAAGTATCTCCTCATTCCTTCCGAGTGTTGGACCTTTAACTGGATCTACTGAAGTGACGCTGAGGGGTACAAATTTTTTCAACGCTCCTGGAATTTCTTGCGATTTTTTTGCGATTGGAGCAGTGCCTGCATGGTGGATTTCAAGTTCCCTTGTGGTTTGTTTATCGCCACCGTCATCAGAACCCGTGGTGCAAGTTGAGTTCAGTAACAACGGAGTAGACTACACAGACAATGGGTTGAAATTTCACTACTCCCTTTCTGCTCTCCCACTGAGCTTGATTCCAAGTATCGGATTGAAAGAAGGAAATTTCTTTATCAGCGTTGTTGGGAATAATTTTGTAAATTTCACCACATTTCGCTGTAGGATAGATGGAACATATGTGATCTCGTCAGTTTTCAATGAATCCCTGGCTTTGGCAAAATTGCCTCCCAGGACTCGCCTGGATTCGCTTGCTTCCATGAATGCATATGAAGGACCCGATTGCGTTCGCCTGGATTGCTCAAACAACAATGTTGAATTTCTACCTCAAGATGGTTTGTCATTTTGTTACTTCGGTAGGCCTCCAAACATTTCAAGAAGTTTCCTGACCATCTTGAACAGATGCTGTACAGATCTCGAAAATCCAACCTTCTGGAGGTCCAGTTGCTGGTGGAACAGAATTGAGCATCGTTGGCAGTTTCTATACCATGGGAAACACCAAGTACAGTTGTTCGTTTAACTTGACACACATCAGCGAAGCCACGATTTCGTCATCTTCTTTGATTTCGTGTCTGAGCCCAGTACTGGATGAAGGACTTTACAAGATCGATATCCTTCTAGACCAGTTGCTGATATCAAAAATCGGGGTTGCAACTTACTATAAAGCCTACGGTAGTACACTCGATGCTTGAAAATTGATTGATGCTTTATGCAGGCAATATTTTGATATTCTTCTTTTCACCACAATCTGCACCTGAGTTAGGCGGAAGTTCTGTATCGGTGACAGGATTGAACTTTCAAGACAGCCCATCGCTGGTTTGCAGATTTGGCGAAACAGACAGCAATTCAACTACCTTTGTTTCGAGTACTTTGTGCGAAGTTTTTATTTGTCCATTTGACTTCCTCTGATTGATTGTGCATCAGGATACTCTGTTTGACTCCATACAACTTCGGGTCTGTCAAGCTATACGTGTCAGTAAGTACATCTATTTCTCAGATTTCGGCCCCGATAATGTTGCTTTGTGATAGAATAACAACGTGGATTTTGCTTCAAGCACCTCACCATTTGAATTTCAAGGTGCTGCACCTTGATATGCATTGAGAGATATCTGAATTCAACATTGCAGCGTCACCTGTCATCACGGGACTGCTTCCTTCAGCTGGTTATACCATGAACCAAATTTATGCAGTTACCATTGTTGGACGGAACTTCTTGCAAGGACAGAGACTTTCGTGCGTTCTCAATCGAGAAAATTTGTTTGTTGAGGCAAAGTTCATAAGTTCATTGCTTATTCAATGTGCATTTCAACTCATGAGAGAAGAGCAATCCTCGCTATATTTTTCATTGGATATTGATGGATTTTATGTTCGAAATGACATACCGTTCCTTCTCGTTTCAAGGCCAAAATTGTATAACGTTTTCCCCACAATTAGCGGATCGGATGGAGGCAATCTTGTTGCAATATTCATGTATCCATTGTTGGATCAGGGATATCAATGCGTTTTTGATGAAAATATCTCTTCTGCAGCATCGATACTTACGAGCTCTAGTCTGAACTGTATCACACCACAGGTTTACCCAAGCCGTGTAACGCTATTTGTTGCATTAGTCGAAAACTTGCAGCCACTTGTGGATAAGTGGGAGTTCCTGTTTTTGTCACCATTGCGTTGCTTGAATTTCACTTTTTCAAAGGATGACGTATCTTTGCAAGTCTTTGGAAATGGATTCTATTTCTCGGATGACCTGTCTTGTAAGCTTTCTTCAGGACAAATCATAAGAGCGAGCTGGTACAGCTCTACAAAGATATCATGTGTTTCCCGAGCCATAATTGGACAAGAAACGAGCATGGCAGTGAGCAACAATGGTCAAGATTTTGTGACGTGTTCCTCGACAATCGCTGAGCAACCTTTTCAATCCTTCAACATAACTATATTTCCGACGAAAGGGCCTCTGCTTGGAGGGACTTATGTACACGTGTACGGTCTTGCCTTCTTGACTTCGATAGAGCTTGCATGTTCATTTTGTACATCACTCTCACAGGCATCTAGCTCTGCATGTATCAGTCCAAGTATGGACAAGGAGATGGATTGTGATGTTCAGATATTTGTGAATGGCATCATGCAGCAACATATGCCTATCACATTTCGATATCAGAATTCCTCGGGCTTGCTTTTAATAGAACCATCGGCGGGTCCCATCAACGGTGGAACTGTAGTGCATGTGCGGTCAGTGGAGATTGACAGCAATCCTTTCTTGTGCTCGTTTGGAAAGCTGAAAGTTAAATCGTTCATGGTTACTTCGACGCATTTCAAATGTGCAACTCCTCCCAACAAAGCAGGCCTCTCGCCATTTTCGTTGTACTTCCCTTCAACTTCATTTCAAATGGGCAGCCCATTGAATTCGTTCATGTTCTACACCTCCCTTGATGGATTTGAACTCTCCGTGTCATCTGGTTATATCAACACCATCAATTTGGTAATAATCACAGGAAATTTCCAATATTTTGGCGAAGAAATTCTTTGTAGATTTGGTTTTTCTGTGGTTCGTGCAACGATCTTGACTTTCACATCAATATCCTGTGGTGCATTTTCGAATGCGTTAGGGACTGTATACGTAGATGTTGCTTTGAATGGAGTTGATTTTTCTGACGTACATCGATCATTCACATGGATCGCTCCTGTAATTTGTCAAAGTATACAGCCCACTTTTGCATTCACAGAAAGCAGGTCTTCCATCACGGTCTATGGACAAAATTTCAGGAATTCTCAGGATTTGTCTTGTGGATTTTCTGATTTCACTGTGCAGACAAATTTTCAAACATCTTCTGTGATTACATGCTCGCTTTGGTTATTCGATAGCCAAATCACAGAGGTCAATGTAGTTGACAATGCTACAGGTCAAACAGCTTTTTGTGGCCTTATTTCTATATTTCCAAGTTTCTTTTCGATCCATCCTTCTATTGGGCCTATTGTTGGATCATCATTAGTCACGTTGGAATCTTTGTTGAAGCCCTTTGCACAACATATAACATGCTCATGGGAGTTTAACAGTACGACCAATTGCCAGACGCCTGCAGTCCTACATACCTCGGATTCTGAATCTTTCTCAAGTGAAAGGGTTACTTGCCGAACCCCGTTTTCTGGAATGTCTGCTCAAACAAGGTTGCTGATTTACTTCCAATACCCCAAAATCCTGTTGCAAGCATTCACTTATGAATTTGAGCAGCTTGCAACGATAAATGCAGTGCAACCATCTTCGTTGAGAATGGGAATTCAGATTGTCACGGTAGTTGGAATGCACTTTAGGTCAAACCCTCACCTTGTCTGCAACATCAATAGTCATATTTCTCGGCCCCTGTGGTTGTCATCAACAAAACTTTTGTGTACAGTGAATGTAGGGAATGATGCACAATTTTCACTCGCGGTATCTAATAATCAGGCCGATTTCAGTAATGAGATTTGGTTGTTCTCGTCGAAGTCCCTTGCCATCGCCACGGTTTATCCCAGCTACGGTCCCCTTCTTGGCGGGACATGGATCACCATAAGCGGAGGTGGCTGGGCGAGTGACGATAGGATTTCTTGCGAGTTTGGTTCCCTTGTGTCGAGTGCTGAACAGGTTCGCTCTGCTTCCCAGGCGACTATGGCTTGCCGCGTGCCAGGCTTTCTTTCAAACGAGGTATCGCCTTCGGAGAAGCTTGTAGAGCTCCGAGTGACTGCTCAAGGAGCAGGAGGTATACGAGTGGGGTATGCGAATTTCATGTATAGAGCCCCTGGTAGAATCATGTCAGTAGAGCCCACCACGGGGAGTTATCAAGGAGGCGAGACGCTGACAATCTATGGGGAGTTTTTCCCTATGGCGTCAACAGTGACTTGCAACTTCACAACCACAGGGGAGGATAATGCAACAGGAGTGCAGAGTACGTCGAGTCAGGGAGTTTGGCGGTCATCGAGCATGGTTTACTGCGTCAGTCCAGCAGCTCAAGTTGGCGCGACAAAAACCGAGCTGTATGTGAACTTTGATAACTTTTGGTCAATTCGCTCCCCTAGCTTTGTTTACCACCTCAGCCCACCTGGACTGATACGGGCATTGTCATTTGTCGAAAACAACATTACTACAAAAAGACTCATAATTCTTGGCTCAGAGTTTTTACAGAATCACGGGTTATGCTACATTGAAACGCATAGAGCACCATGTCAGAGAATGTCAAGCACTATGATGCAGTGCTTTACTAAGCACATTTCTCTATCCAATTTTTCAATCAAGATTTCCTACAACGAGAAGGATTTCAGTAATGAGATTTGGTTGTTCTCGTCGAAGTCCCTTGCCATCGCCACGGTTTATCCCAGCTACGGTCCCCTTCTTGGCGGGACATGGATCACCATAAGCGGAGGTGGCTGGGCGAGTGACGATAGGATTTCTTGCGAGTTTGGTTCCCTTGTGTCGAGTGCTGAACAGGTTCGCTCTGCTTCCCAGGCGACTATGGCTTGCCGCGTGCCAGGCTTTCTTTCAAACGAGGTATCGCCTTCGGAGAAGCTTGTAGAGCTCCGAGTGACTGCTCAAGGAGCAGGAGGTATACGAGTGGGGTATGCGAATTTCATGTATAGAGCCCCTGGTAGAATCATGTCAGTAGAGCCCACCACGGGGAGTTATCAAGGAGGCGAGACGCTGACAATCTATGGGGAGTTTCTCCCTATGGCGTCAACAGTGACTTGCAACTTCACAACCACAGGGGAGGATAATGCAACAGGAGTGCAGAGTACGTCGAGTCAGGGAGTTTGGCGGTCATCGAGCATGGTTTACTGCGTCAGTCCAGCAGCTCAAGTCAGTTGCACTGATCTGATCGTCGAGTTGAGCTTTGATTTGCAATTTCAAGTGAGCTCCGCTATGCACTACTGTGTTTACTCTCGATGGATTGAACACGTATTTGCCTCGCATCTGAATCAGAATCCCCTGATTTCAGTGACGATCATCGGGGTCGGATTTAGGGATGGTGACTCTGTATTGATCGGGAATCATCTAATCCAAAGGATTCCACAAAGAAGTTCCCGATCTATAGTTCTTGATGATTTGAGTATTCCAACTCTGGAATTTTTGAAACATACAAATTTGTGCATTTCTGATAATACTTCGCTCTGCTTGTCGAATTCACGCTCATTTTCTTTGAAGGGTTTTACTCGTGCTTGGTCGGTCAGCCCCAACGAGATTTGCTCGTTTGGTGGAACAGTCATCTCCATGCAAACAGATTTTGCGAATTCCAAGAATCAGATTGTCTGCATCTTCGACAATATTCTTGTCGATGCCAAACGAGTCAATGCAACTTTGTTTGAGTGTATCTCTCCGCCTATTTCTCAGGGTATTGACTTTGTCCTGTTTAGAATTCTAGACTTGCAGTCACATCTGGCTCAGACTCAAGTTACAATGTCAGTTTATTCAAAAGATAACTACACAATTGTTTTTGAAGAAGTTAGGAGAGATGGCTTGAATCTTCGCTTGAAAGTGAGCAATTTGATCTTGGGAAAATCAACTTGTCAATGCATTTTTAAAGATCAAGAAAGTGCTATGCTTCTCAAACAAGATTCGGCAAAGGTCACATCTGAGTTACTCGAGTGCGAGATACCATGTATCAATGCAAAGGTACTCAAGTTCAACGTTCGTTGTGGCTGCAGTTTCTCTGACACTCACGTCCTTGCTCTGCCTATTGTCCTGAAATTGTTTGCTTCCAGCAGCGTGGCTTGGAACAATACTGCCATCAACATCATTGGAGATAATTTTCTGCCTCAAGACGTTCAGCTTCTGTATGGAAAGAAGACTGTCCAAGGACTGTATTTGTCGTCCACTCATTTGCGCCTGCAAACTCGCAGTCGGGATCGTGGAACCGTATGGATTTCTCTGAGCTTTTGCTCCCTCATGGGCGGGTCACTCTCGTTTCACAGCGAACCTTCAGTCCTGCATATTCGACCTTCTGTTGGCCCAGTCAATGGTGGAACAAATGTCACCGTCGCAGTCTCTAAAACAGATCTCCAATTTTCCTGTGTTTTTGGGGAACGCATAGTTGAGGCTCACTACATCACTTCATCTTCGGTGTATTGTGTTTCCCCGTCGTTTGAGACTCCGATTCGCGTGCCTGTGTCGTATGGTAACCCTCATAGCCTTGATAAATCTGCGACAACATCTGCCTATTTCATTTTTCAAGTTGATGACAGGATAATTGGTATACAGCCTTCCGCGGGACCATTCGAAAATCCGACAAGTGTATTGATCAATTTGAAAGGAAGTAGTATCTGGGAAAAAGGATCAATTCATTGCTTCTGCAATGCAAAGCAGCATTCTGTGGGTAAGCTCTTGTCATCGTCACAAATTTCATGCACTTTCTTTGCAATGGATATGCAAGAGCCGGCCCTAATTTCTGTCACAAGTGAATATGTGAGGACGATTGACCCTATACTGTACTATCATGAAGATATACCTCGCATCATATCAGTAACTTACAAATTTGCTCTGAATGGAATGAAAAATGTTTATTTCATTCAAGGATATGGATTTACCAAAAGTTCCCTCTCGCCCACTTGCAAGATTGGTTCTAGCTTGTTATCAAGAGCACTGTGGATTTCACATCAAAAGATGTTGTGCATGATGGATAATCAAGTATTCAGCAAATACAAACAAGGCAATTACACAATTCGTGTCAGCAACAACGGAATACATTACTCAAATTCCTTCAAAATACTCCAGGTGATGGAAACCTTCATTGCAAACAGCCTTCAGCCAACATGGGGCATAGCCGGGGGCGGGGCGACAGTGGTGACGGTATGGGGAGCTTTGATAGGGGAGGCAGGCAGGGGAGTGGTGTGCAAGTTCGGAGAGAAGGGAAGGCCTACGGAAGGGCAGGGGGTAGGCTCGTCAGGAGTAGTCTGCGAGGCGCCCGGACAGCAGGAGCAGCGGGCCAGCTTGTACTTGTCCACGGACGGGGGTCTGACTTTCGAAGACAGCGGACGAGTGTTTGAGTACATCCAAGCGGGGACGATCATACGGCTAGAGCCTTGCGAGGGGCCGGTATCAGGAGGCACACGCGTGAGGGTGATCGGGTCAGGGATGATGGGGGGAGAAGGGCTTGGGTGCCGTTTCGGAGGCGTGGGAGGACGAGAGGGGAGGGCGCGTTGGGAGTCGAGCAGCGTTGTGAGCTGCATCGCGCCAGAGCACACAGGGGAGGAGGCAGTGGAAGTGTCAATAACGAGGGACGGGCAAGGGACGGCGACGACGGGAGGGGCCGGGTATAGGTACAGTACGTGGCCGGAGGTGACGGGGGTGTATCCGAGTCAAGGACCGACGCGAGGAGGGTTTGTGGTCAGGGTAGCGATGGACGGGGTACAAGGGAAAGGAGGACGGTGGGAGGCGGCCTGGTGTCGGATAAGAGAGGGGGAGGAGTGGCTAGGAACGACGGCGTCAGAGGGGTCGAGGATCGAGTGCGTGATGCCAGCACATGGGAGAGGGAACGCATCGCTGGAGGTCAGCCTCAACGGGCAGGACTGGTCCACGGGAGGGCGGGTCGAGTACAGAGAGCCGCGGTGCGAGGTGGTAAGGGTAGAGCCGTCGCTGGGGCCAGAGAGGGGCGGTACGGTAGTGGAGGTCAGGGTGAGAGGTTGGGCGACAGCAGGAGGGTCAGGGGGAGGGTCAGCGGTCTGCATGTACGACGGGGAGGCAGGGGTGGAGGGGACGGTTGTCGGAGGGGGAGTAGTACGATGCAAGACGCCCGGGGCAAGACGGGGAGGGGGAAGCGAGCCAGGGCGGGAGGTCGAGGTGAGCGTCGAGGCAGTAGGCACAGAGGGCCGGTGCAGCGGAGGAAGGTACATGTACTACGGGGGGGTAGAGGTAACGGGGGTGAGGCCTTCGATCGTTACAGCGGGGACGGGGACGGCGCTGACGGTAGTAGGAAGAGGCTTCTTGATCGGGGCGGAGGGACGTTGCAAGTACTGGGACATGAGGAGCGGGGGCGGGCTGAGCTGGGAGGAGGCGATAGGAGTAGGGATCACGTCAAGCATGGTGCGGTGCGGGAGCATAGAGACCGGGGGCCCAGGGATGCATGGAGCGAAGGAAGTGGACGTGAGCATCAACGGAGTAGACTACACGGGGGCTGGGGCAGAGGTGCTGTACGAGGCTGCAGCGACGCTGACGGGCATCATCCCGAGCAGGGGGCCGGCAGACGGGGGCGGGAGCATAACGCTGATAGGGGCGGGGCTGAGCAAGTATACGGTGGAAGGGGCGCGATGCCGGGTAGGAGCTCAAGACGCAGGGTACGCGAGATGGATAACATCGAGCCAGGCGGAGTGCAGCCAGGTACAGGGGGGCAGGGGGAATGTAACGGTCGAGCTGAGGGGGAGGGAAGGGGAGGTAATAGCACGCGGGATCAGGTACGAGTATTCACAGAGGTGGAGCGTGACGAGGGCTTCACCAAGCGTAGGCCCTGTTAATGGAGGGCAGAGGGTAACACTGTACTTGGGTGGGGACGAATCGCAAATGCCGAACGAGAGCGGTGCAGTGTGTTTGTTCGGCTCCCAGAGGACAAGCCCTGCACAGAGAGTCAGTATGTCGGAGGTGCAGTGCGAGAGTCCCGCTCGCCTCGGGGGCGGGGAAGGGCTGGTTTGCCTTTGGGTAACGGACAGAGGTACTGTGTCCTGGGATATCGAGAGCTGCAGGGTCGGAAGCGGGGGTGTACCATATCTGTACATGGCTACAACCAGGATCTCGGGCGTGGAGCCATCCTTTGGGGCGCTACATGGTGGGACAGTCGTTACTATCTCGTTGGATCCAGGTATGGGCTTGATGCAACCAATCCAAGTGGTATGCGAGTTTGGAGGCAAGCCAGGAGAAGGATCGGTATTGGAGACAAGCCTTGCGAGAGGGCCAGAGCAAGTGAAGGTCAGGTGCACGACACCCAAGGGAGAAACCGAAGGAGCGGTGCAGCTGAGAGTGTATCTGGAGGGTCCTGATGGGTCAACAGAGAGCGTGACAGACTTCTGGTATGAGGAGGCAGCTCGGGTGACCGACATAAAGCCCTGTCGAGCCCGACTCGTCAATGCACAAGCGATCACGATAGTCGGGGCGTACTTCAAGAGATCAGCCAGCCTTGCGTGCAAGCTTGGACTCATGACTAAGACAGCAGCTAGGTGGGAATCTAGCACCATGGTAGTCTGTATACTACCGGCAGGACAATATCCAGCAGTGTCAGGGTCAGGCGGAAACATGACGGTAGCTATCAGCAACAACGGGGTAGACTACTCAAGGCCGGGAACTTTGCGACTGCAGTACACAGGAGCAGGAGGAAAGGGAGTGGAGAGGATAGAGCCAACATGGGGCATAGCCGGGGGCGGGGCGACGGTGGTGACGGTGTGGGGAGCTTTGATAGGGGAGGCAGGCAGGGGAGTGGTGTGCAAGTTCGGAGAGAAGGGAAGGCCTACGGAAGGGCAGGGGGTAGGCTCGTCAGGAGTAGTCTGCGAGGCGCCCGGACAGCAGGAGCAGCGGGCCAGCTTGTACTTGTCCACGGACGGGGGTCTGACTTTCGAAGACAGCGGACGAGTGTTTGAGTACATCCAAGCGGGGACGATCATACGGCTAGAGCCTTGCGAGGGGCCGGTATCAGGAGGCACACGAGTGAGGGTGATCGGGTCAGGGATGATGGGGGGAGAAGGGCTTGGGTGCCGTTTCGGAGGCGTGGGAGGACGAGAGGGGAGGGCGCGTTGGGAGTCGAGCAGCGTTGTCACTTGTGTGACACCAGATGGCATTTATCCTGGAGTCGTCAGTCTTTTTCTTTCGTCTCCGACCTCGGCGTCAGCTTTTTTGTTTCGCCCAATTTTTGAGTGCACCATTTTGAGGGTGAATTTCATTCAGAAATTATACAGGGGAAGCTCAGTGCATTCAACAAGGGTACTTCTTCGATTTGATCCCGTTACAGATTGGGGTTTACATGGGATATTGTGTAGGATTGGAGCTAGCATAAGGGGCAAGGCAAGCTGGTTGACTCAGAGCAATCTGATGTGCACATTCCTTGAATCAAGCCCATATCACATCATTAACAAATCAGTCGAAGTCAGTTACAATAGACAAAATTTCCAGATGTGCGGAACAATAAGAGAAACGCCAACAGCAGTAATCAAAATCGAACCAACCTGGGGCATTGTAAACCAAGTAACGCATGTGACAGTCTACACATCATCGAGCTTTTCCTTTCAAGGATTACCGATAGTGTGTAGATTTGGGAACACTGCAGCTTTGTCCACTGCTCAAACACTACACAACGGTATATACACATGCAAAGCAGAAGAGCAAAGAGAGCAGAGGGCCAGCTTGTACTTGTCCACGGACGGGGGTCTGACTTTCGAAGACAGCGGACGAGTGTTTGAGTACATCCAAGCGGGGACGATCATACGGCTAGAGCCTTGCGAGGGGCCGGTATCAGGAGGCACACGCGTGAGGGTGATCGGGTCAGGGATGATGGGGGGAGAAGGGCTTGGGTGCCGTTTCGGAGGCGTGGGAGGACGAGAGGGGAGGGCGCGTTGGGAGTCGAGCAGCGTTGTGAGCTGCATCGCGCCAGAGCACACAGGGGAGGAGGCAGTGGAAGTGTCAATAACGAGGGACGGGCAAGGGA